TGCAAATGGTGCAGCCCAGTTACCTGGATTCCCAGGGCCTCGAACCAATCGAGTCCAATAAGACTCGTACGCTCACCCCCAACAACCACCACATCTAGGGGACCTTCAAAATCCTTACGCTGTACTCTAAGGGTGGCCTCCCCCTTAACACACATCATATAATTCTGAAAATCTGTAAGTATTAGATTGGATGGCCTGAGTTTAACTCGAAGGCCACTGCAACTGCATATTCTTTTGAATGTGTTAATAGAAATAATAGAGAGAGCGGATCCAGTGTCCAACTCCATTGATAAGGGAACCCCTTGCAGCCTTAAGTTAATAGAAAGTTTCTTCTTAAGGGGCTTATGTGTCCCTGTCCTTAAAATACTCCTGCGCAATGCGCAGAAACCCACCCTATGTTGGCTGGGGACCGTGGTACCTTTCAGATGCAATTCTTCACGAGGTTGGACCTTCTGGCAACCCAAACAGACGGATGTGATGTGGCCTTGCCTGCCACATGCTCTGCAAATGGTGGAGCAGAACCTGCAGTCAGCTCGCTTGTGGCGTCCTCCACACCCGAAGCATTGAAGAGATGCTGGGGCCTTGTCCGGATGTTCCTTCTGCCTCCTTTCAGTTGGCTGGTGAAGTCTATCCACCTCTTCTTCAGGATCCGCTTCTGATCCTTCTCGAGCGTCCTCTTGATGGACGGTAGCTGTCTCTGGAGGGCTGCTGGTGGGCCGTAGGGTCTTCACAGCCCCGCCTGCTGCTTCCTCAGCTGTCACCTCTTGTAGCGCATCTTGGAAAGAGACATCTTCTTTAGCAAAAATCTTCTATTCCTTAAACCGCATACAAAGCGATCTCGTAGCCTCTCTTCCAGATGCTTGAACTCACAAGATCTGGCTGCTTGCCTTAAGGCCGCAATAAAATCTGTAGCAGATTCACCCGGCTTCTGGTCTCTCTGCTCAAACATGTGCCTCCAAGCAATAACAGATAACTTTGACTGGAAATGTTCCTTTAACATTTTCTTCAAATCAGTATATGTTACTGACTCCAGAGGTGCAGGGGCCACCAGATTCTCTGCAATTTCAAAAGCTTCCTGTCCACAGACACACAAAAGAATTGCAGCCTTCAAGCCATCTTCTTTAATTTGATTTACTCTGAAGTAATTCTCCACTCTTGCAACGTAGGAATTCCATCTCTCTGGGTGTGAGACATCAAAATCAGACAAACGACCAATCTTCGCCATCGTACTTCTACTAACTTCACCACTCGCTCCTCTGCAAACTTCTGTTTGGGGAAAGGGTCCTTTAGCTGAGCTCACCCTCCAGCAATGCTATACTGGCAGGCTGGGACGCTGATTCAGACGCCGTCTTCCCTCTTCAGGACTTCCTGGGTAAGTCCTTAAAACTTTCTCTTTAGTTTGCAAAGGATCCCATCCTCGTTGCCAGTGTTAAGTACTTTGTTCACTTGCAAATGATGAATAAACATGGTGAAGTTTAACAGCTCTTTATTCTTCAACCAACAACACCCGAACAATGGCAAAAGGCACGCAGGCCTCTTTATGTGTCCAGAGACTTGGACAACGGCAAACAAAGTAACAGAGCGTTTTTGTGCCTTGCGTATGCGTAGAAGGCCGGCGCCGCTCAGTCTGGTCCTGGGCAGCTTTTGGAGTGCCCAGAACCTATGCAACATCCTGAGCCTGCTTTTGCAGGCTCAGGATACAACAGGAAATATCTATGTTCAATGACAGTGCCTTCACAATACGTAAGACAGGAATTGTATTAGTAATTGCACCCAGATCAACCCAAAGGGTTTATAGTGCTAGATACAGTCCTTTCTAATAGTTGAAAGCAACATCAACAAGCAATGCAGACCTATCATGGTGTCTTGAGCAATTTTATTTTGGGTTCTGTATAGGAAGTTAGGCTAGAAAGTGGGAAGTGTGTCCCACCTTAGCCATGGAAACCAGCTGAGTGAGGGCCAGCCATTCTCTCTCAGCCCAACTCACCACACAGAGTTTTTTGTTGTGGGGAATATAGGAGGAGGAAGGTGTGTTGGATATGTTTACTGTCTTGAGCTATTTGTAATATTAATATAGGCAGGAAATAAACAAGTAAACAGTACAACCTACAGTTAACAGACAGTATTTCTTGCATCTAAGATATTAATTGGGGGCTTGTATCACACCATCAATTTTGCCATCTTGCTTGCTTCGTACTTTTGAAACATTTTTTTAGAAAAAAATTTTTTGCTGAAGCTGTAGGTGGGGGAATTGTTTTCCTCTGCTACGTGGACATCTAATGACGAGTAGAAGGATATATTCCCCATAATTATCCAATTGATGCTGATTACTTGGAGAATTCCTCCAGGTGAGAAGAGATTTTCTGGTAGTAGCTAGCTAAACAGTGAACTAAGATTAAGGAATACTGTTAAATACTGTTAAACTCCACTGGAACTTTCATGGCAGGGATTTTAAAGCATCTGGGACTCCTGAATTATTGATGAAGCTGACATTCTTGGACATGCTAGAAGAGCACAACAGAACACCAACGCTTGAACGATTGTAAAGGAAAAGATGACTTGATGTTAAGGAGAAGATGTGAATGAGAGATAATGATCTTTATTCTTTCATTTGTCATGCTGCTTCCTTCAGCAGTGTGTTATGTTCCAGTTGCTAAATGCATAATCAGTGACCCTCGGAAAATCAATCATAAGTATTACCAGTCAGGAGATGTTATCATAGCTGACATTAGTTCACAGAGCTACAGGTTTTCCAACCCTCTCAACTTTGAAAGGCATCCTGCTTCTGAACTCTTTGATGACCTCATGTAAGCAATTGGTATCTTAAACCAAATATTTCAGGCAGTGGGTCTCTCCCTAGGCTTAGGCAATAAGAGCAAGCATGACTTTTCAATCATAAGCATTAAGGGATATAGTACAAATTAAATTTCAATGGATCAGAATTTTTATCCAGTTTAGCGTGTTCTATGAACACATTCTGACCATTTTAAGTAACATTCCTGAGCAAAGTGACAAGTTAAATGGATGGAAATTACTGAGACTGATTCCACTACCTACCCATTTCATGTTGTGTTATTATTATTGTCATAGTACTGTAGTTCTTCTGTATACTTGTAATAAATTTCATGAGAATTTTTCATTTTGCTTTCTTGGTAGCAAAAGAGAATTGAGGCTAAACTTATTTCTCTTAGAAAAATAGCCATCTTTCATTATGAACTGCAAAATTAAAGATAACTGAACATATTTAATAGCTAATAACTAATCTGAAGAACAGAGAGATTGCAAAGATATAATTCCACAAATATCATGATGGGATTTTGTTATTGTGTGGTAGAGAAGATGAACTTCTTTAGAATTCTTGATGGCCTGTTAAACTAATTGTTAGTTCATGTGCCAAAACTAGGATATTCAACTGAACTGAAATGTAAAATGTCTATTATAAAGGCATAACATCCATGGCTAAATCATGTTTCTTGCAATAATATGTAGTTGGTATAACATTTTCCTTTATTGTGACCAAATCCAGGCATACCTAAGGCAATCAAATCACTCTGAAGATGCATAAGTTTATTTGCATGCCTACAAGCAATAATATAGTATATACTGAATTCAAGCAAAGCTTTGATACTTTGTTAAGCACCCAAGAGCAAAACGAGAGCCAGGGCTTATATACCTTTGGTCTACTGCATTGAAAGGCAAAGAAAGGCAGAAGCAAAACAAAGAAATGTTGGGATATTTTAAATAGAATAGAATAGAATAGAATAAAATGGAATGGAATGGAATGGAGTGGAGTGGAGTGGAGTGGAGTGGAGTGGAGTGGAATGGAATGGAACGGAGCGGAGCGGAATAGAATAGAATAGAATAGAATAGAATAGAATAGAATAGAATAGAATAGAATAGAATAGAATAGAATAGTTGGATGGGACCTTGGAGGTCTTCTAGTTCAGTCCCCTGCTCAGACAGGAAATCCTATACCATTTCAGACAAATGGTTGTCCAATAAACCCATTTGTGTGACCATATTATTATTTGTTCCTTCTTACTAAGTTAATATGCTAACTATACTATCTCTGAGTTATTGTCAGTGAATAGAAATAACAATCTGGGCCACAGGTACCTGACTGAGTTTTCTCCTTGTCACCATTCAGAATGAATTCAACTTGAGGCAAATGTTTTCTTACAAGGGCATTTTACACAGATCATATGTCTGGGGAGCATCCCACAGGTTTGGTAATGAATATAGTTTCAGGTCTACAAGGAGGGGACCTTTTACCATCACACTATGTGCACCCAAGATCACATGCTATTTTCTTTCAGAAATGTTCTCTTGTTAGAAATGAAAATTAGCATTCTAGTTGAATGTTTTTGGGAATCAACACCCTGATAGGCATGGTTAGATACACTTCACTGAAATATATGCATTTTTTGTACAAACATTTTGAGATAAAAAGTACTATTTTGGCAATTACCCATCATTTGGGTAATTGGTGCACTCTCATTTTCAACTTAAAAATATTTGAGCCTGTATTTCATAACAGCTGTCCAGATAACTTATGATCCACTAATATTTATATATTCATTAAACTGATGTGGCCTCCCATGAAAACAGTACAACTCTGAGCAGCTCAGGGCAGTGATATAAAACCAAAACATTAAAAAAACAATAAACACATACACAAAAAAAAAAACCAACTGGCATCAAATTCCGTCTCCTCTGATGAGGCCAACCACATCCTCTTCCAGCTGTCTCCTCACCTTATTCCAGTGGTGGTGTGAACCAGCTCTTTATGGTCTTCTAGAAAGTTACTGGGATGAGGACCTACTAGATTTCAGAGGACAGGATGCTCCACAGGAACAGACTGCTATGGAAAAGGCAGATGATCTAAATTTAGAAGAATAGGAATCTAGCAACCCTTAAACTTAACTTGAGACAATCCAATGGTACAGTTAAATCTCATTGCAGATTTGTGACACATCTTGGCTTTTGTCTTTGCTGTGAAGGAGATCAATGAGAATATCCAGATGCTGAATAATGTCTCCCTGGGTTTCAACATTTATAATGACTACTTCACTGGAAGCTTAACTTATCTTGCTTCACTGGAGCTTCTGTCTACACGGGACAAGTTCATTCCAAACTATAAATGTGATGTCCAAGGTATTACTGTGGCTGTCATTGGAGGACCAAACTCCAAGGCATGTCTTTTCATGGCAACCATTCTGAGCATCTATAAGATACCACAGGTAAGATCTGAACAAGACATGTAGAACTGAACAAGACATGTAGAACTCTTTTTTATTGTTCAGTAAGAATTTTTATCAATTTGGGACAAAGAATGTGTCATCATCAAACAGGTAATAATTCATTGTTTAAATGCTAGCCTAACCCAGAATTCACAGCATCTATACTTAATTCCTTTGCTTATCAAATAGAATATATACCTTTCCACTTCCTATCTCACAAATGAATTGAAAACTCTTGATTACCCCTGATTCCTAGCTCCCTTTTTTTAACTCCTGGATAAAATTCTCAATTATTGTAACAATCAAGGATTGATACCTTCTTATTTGATGTCTTGATGTCTTCTTATTTATCTTGAGCCATGGTGGCGCAATGGTTAGAATGCAGTATTTCAGGCTGATTCTGCTGACTGCCAGGGGTTCGATCCTGACCGGCTCAAGGTTGACTCAGCCTTCCATCCTTCCGAGATCAGTAAAATGAGGATCCAGATTATTGGGGGCAATATGCTGACTCTGTAAACCACTTAGAGAAGGCTGTAAAGCACTGTGAAGTGGTATATAAGTCTAAGTGCTAATGCTATTGCAGTTGCTCTTGTAAGTTTTCTTCTATTTTTGGTGTTAACAGGAACAACCCAAATTTATATTTATTCCATATTGTAAGAATGGTCTGCCTGACATAACAATTTCTGAAATATACATTAACCTTAGCTTTACCATACCATAGAATTCCAAGCTACCCAAATGTCAGATCATGTCCTTCTAACTCCAGCAGTCTTCTATTTCTTAGCAACAACCACTATTTCATCTAAGATAAATAGCAGGAAGAAAAATATAATTTCAAATCTGGTTATCCCATAAACTTCCTTTTTCCTTTGCAATTTGTAGTAAAATGTATTTAACTCAGTGATTTTCCCCTGCCATACAAACTTAAACATAAATTTCTGCTAGTAATTAAATAGTACACTAGTCATCAAAATAGATATTGTCTGAAACAAAAATAACATTCTAGATAAAACATTCATCTTAATCACATATCTTTTTAAATTTTGTTCCATGTCTCAACACAGTTATTATAAAATAACATACAATTCATATTTGTCATAGTAATACCCAAATATTTTATTTTCTTCTCAACCTTAAAATCTGTTTTATTCCTCAATTTTGTTTAACCTTGAAACCATCTATAAAATAGTTACTTCCCAAAGTGGGAAAAGCAGGGTTTACTGTCTGTGTTGGCTCCACCTCAGTTAGGAGCATAGATGGAATCCCAGGACTGCTGACAGCTCAACTCTTGAGCTAACAGCAAAAAATAATCCATTTCTGCAGTTTACTCAAGAGGAAGTATCATCTATAATGCTTTGACCCAGGGAGATTGTAATGGCCAGAATCTGCTTTCTAATTGGTGATCTTGGGTAAATTGTCTCCCCGTGTTTTTCAATTTTTTTGCACATATTTATTTTCACAATTCAGTATGAATGATTCTTACAAACTGATAACATGAATCAAATGAAAAACACCCACTATATCTTAAAAAATAAAGAAAAGTGAAGTTCCATTCTAATGGAACTTGGTCGTACAATGTTTGATTCTTGATTCAGTTTCAGAATGTTAGATGAATACCCACCATTCATACATTAAAATTTTACCTTATTCATTCTACCTACTTAATCTTTCCTTTCTTTATAGCTTGGATATGGTTCTTCTCCTTTGATTAATGACCCATCCCAACAAGCCTTTTTCCAATGGATGTTCCCTAATAGAAACCAACAGTATATGGGGATGCTTCAGTTGCTTTTGCTTTTCAGATGGACCTGGATTGGTGTCATTTTTATACATGATGACAATGGCCTAAGGTTTGTACAGAATGAACTTCCCAAATTTTCCCAGGGAGGTGTCTGCTTTGATTTTATAGAACCATTGCCAACCTTGTATTTTAAAACTGGCATTCATGAAATGATAGAATCATGGGTCAAAACATACCAATTGATAATTAGTAGCACAGCCAATGTTGTGTTCTTACATGGTGAAATTCACACTACAATCTTTTTGAGAATGTTTCCCCAAATTTCAGAACTTGAAAACATACCAATGAAAGCGGGCAAAGTCTGGATAATGACTGCACAAATGGAATTCACTTCTGTTCCTTTTCAACAAACTTGGGATCTAGATATTCTTCATGGTACCCTAATCTTTGCAATTCATTCTCAGGATGTGGTGGGTTTCCAAAATTTTCTTCAGAAGAGAAACCCTAATATGGAAACCACAGATGGTTTTATTAAGGACTTTTGGAAACAAGCCTTTCTTTGTTCCTTTTCAACATCCTTGGAAGAGGAGATTGTTTGGAATCACTGCAGTGGGGAGGAAAAGCTAGAGGCTCTTCCTAGGTCTGTTTTTGACATGAGAATAACATCCCATAGCTATAGCATTTACAATGCAGTTTATGCTGTGTCCCACGTATTGCAGTCCATGACTTCATTAAAGTTCAAATATAGAACTATGTCAGAAGAAGGACAGAAGAAGATCTTGAAGCAACAACTGTGGCAGGTAATGTCCTGATTACGCAAGTAGAAATTGGACAATCATATCTACATAAGCCAATTCTCTAGTAAGTTGATATTTTTGTATGTTTTTAGAGTCGAATGGGCCAACTCACCATAACCAACTCACAACTGCCAATTTGCCATCACAACTCAATGTGAGATAACTATAATATTACTAATAATAATATTAATAACATTACTAATAGTATTACTAATAATTTTAAAAGAGGAACAGGTCTAGAGCACAGTTATCTTGTGTTAAGTTGTTCCACAGCAAATTGGCCGTGGCAAGTTGATTGTGGTGAATTGGCTACTGTGAGGTGGCCATGGCAAGTTGTCCTAGATCCCATTATTTCATAGTTGTCATTGTTTAGAAAATGTTATTATGATGGATTTAGAGAGTCTGCAGATCTACATCCAGTAGAAATGATTTTTCAATATTTCATGTTCTATTCAACACAAAGGGGCAGCAGGGGTCAAAAGGAAAATTAAGGATTGATTTGTTGCCTTTTTAATTATTGATCTGACTGCTAATCTCAGCTCCTTTCCTTTTGCTTTTCTTAGACATACACATATAATGATTTATTACATTATAATACTTTGTAATCATTGCTCATATCAGATTCCCATTGTAGGAAATACTTGTATGCTTCCATAAAACTCTTCAGCCTCAATAGAATAGAATAGAATAGAGTAGAATAGAATAGAATAGAATAGAATAGAATAGAATAGAATAGAATAGAATAGAATAGAATAGAATAGAACCATGGAGGTCTTCTAATCCAGCCTCCTGCTCCAACAGGAGAATCTATATCATTTCAGACAAATGACTCTCTCGTCTCTTCATAAAAACCTCCAGTGATGGAGCACCCACAATTTCTGAAGGCAAACTGTTCCATTGATTAATTGTTCTCACTGTTAGGAAGTTTCTCCTTAATTCCAGGTTGCTTCTCTCTTTGATCAGTTTCCAACCATTGTTTCTTGTCCTGCCCCCCGGTGCTCTGGAGAATAATTTGACCCTCTCTTCTTTGTGGTAGCCCCTCAAATATTGGAATACTGCTATCATGTCACCCTTGTTTCTTCTTTTCTTTAGACTAGCCAAACCCAAATCCTGCAGCCGTTCTTCATATGTTTTAGTTTCCAGGCCTTTGGTCATTTAAGTTGCTCTTCTCTGAACTTTTTCCAAAGTCTCAACATTAACTTTATTACTCAACTTGGTATGTTATCAGGTCCAAAGGCATACAATTCTCTATAACACTATTAACAGGAAGTACAATAGGAGAGAGAGAAAAAAACATGTATGAGACGACTAACTTGTATTGGTAGGCTCCCAAGTCAGAGTAAGGAATAGTAGAGGCCATTCCAATGATGAAAAGAAGATGTAAAAAATTTTATTTCTCTTTTTTTTCCCCATTTGAGTGGGTCACTGGGACAAATATCAAGATGCTTGAATTTGCTTTTTGGTTTGGTTAATGGTTCATTTTTTTAATGTAATTAATTGGCTTCTTGGAAGTAATGATAAACTTACCTTAAGTGTATATTTTGTTTATATTATAGGCTTATTATAAATAATTCAATAACAAGCACCTAGATTGTTTGATCATGATTACTGATAGTTTGGGTACAAGACTAATTATATTTTGTGAATGTCTATGGAGATTCTTAGTCATCCATGTCATACTTGTGCCAAAGATGCTTTTTCATGTCTTTCTTGTTTTTCTGTGCCCTAGAAGAACAAGAAAGTAAGTTGCCTCATGAAAAAGCATCTTTGGGTATACTTGGTGAAATATTCTCACCTTCTATTATCATTTGTACTATTTTTCTAATGCATTTTGTTTTATTTTTATGCTTAGTTTAGTTCCATCACTATCTAAGAAAGGTCTCATTTAACAATAGTGTTGGGGAAATCATTTCCTTTGATGAAAATGGGAACCTGGAAGCAGGATTTGATATTATCAATTGGGTCACATTCCCAAACCTAAGTCTACATCGAGTCAAAGTGGGAAGATTTGATCTCAGAGCTCCCAAAGGACAAGTGTTCAGTGTTAATGCTGATTCTATTAAGTGCCCAAGGAAATTTAGCCAGGTATTTTCTGTATATACTTGGGGTCCATCACTGTTCATGATGCAGATAATGAAAATAGTTGTATGGCCAGTTATTTTCTCAGGCCTCCTTCTGACCCATGCAATATACTGGTCTTCTATGGAAGGCAGGTTGGTTACAATTTTTTTTTCTGCAGACCTAACTATCCACTGAAGTCTGTACCTGTCCTGTTAGATTGCTTTATAAAACCAGACAATTATAGAAGTACAAATGACATATTCAGTAATTCCTCTGTTGAACTGTATCAACAGCTCCTGGGGCAATATGAACTTCTGAGTTGATGCAGAAAGAACATTCTTTGTTGTGCCTTTTTAATGATGGTTCTTAGGTGTTCATTTCAAATCCTGGGAGATTATAGAACACAAAAACCTATATCCCAGTGACTATCCCAGTACCAAACCAACAATTAAGGATTCTGTCTTGTCTGTTTCTCCTTGTACCCAGGCACAGCCTCTGTCTTTGTGCAATGATCCCTGTCATAAAGGTCACAGCAAGACCAAGAAGGAAGGGAAGCCATTTTGTTGTTACAATTGCTTTCCATGCCCAAGAGGAAAAGTTTCAGTTCAAATGGGTAAGGATCTCATGGACTGCATTTGAATTTGGAATCAGGCGGGAATGTTCAGACATTATCATATAAAAATCATGTTGAATAGAAATTGGCCTTTTCCTTTGTGTGGATGCTAGAAGCACTTCCAGGATCCAGTGCAGATATGTTGCCCAGAGTTTCTGAAGGAAGGGTGCCTATAAATTGAATGAGTGAACAACAAACAAATTGATGTTGGCCTCTGCATAATATCTCATAAAAACACAATTATTTAAGAAACGTGCAATTTTCTTTGTAGCTCAGATTATGCACTAAGCTGTTTTTTCTATCTTGATTAGATACACCACAGTCCAAATAAAGAGATTTGGTTTTATCTTTTCAGACTTGGAATTTTGCTACCAGTGTCCAGAGGATCATTATCCCAGCAAAACTCAGGATCAGTGCATCCCAAAAGAGATCAGCTTTCTATCTTTCCATGAACCTTTGGGGATCACCTTGACCATTTTTGCTCTTTTATTTTCCTCCAGTACAGCTCTGGTCCTCGCGGTCTTCATTCAGCATAAGGATACTCCCATAGTCAAGGCCAACAACCAGGATCTCAGCTACATCCTCCTAGTCTCCCTTCTGCTTTCCTTTCTCTGTTCTTTACTTTTCATTGGTCAGCCTCAGATGACAACCTGTCTGCTTCGCCAAACTGCTTTTGGCATCATCTTTTCTGTGGCGGTTTCTTGTGTGGTGGCCAAAACCCTCACTGTAGTTCTAGCTTTCATGGCCACCAGGCCAGGCTCCCAGATGAAGTCATGGGTGGGGAAAAGACTGGCACTTTTTATAGTGCTTTCCTGCTCTTTCATTCAAACCAGTCTTTGTACTGTATGGCTAGTGAGCTCTGCTCCCTTCCCAGATCTTGATATGTACTCTCTGCCTACAGAAATGGTCCTGGAGTGCAATGAAGGCTCCCCTGTCATGTTTTATTGTGTCCTGCGTTTCATTGGTCTCTTGGCTATGATCAGCTTTTCAGTGGCTTTTCTTGGAAGGAACCTTCCAGACAGTTTCAATGAAGCCAAATTTATCACTCTCAGCATGCTGCTCTTTTGTAGTGTTTGGATTTCTTTTGTTCCAGCCTACCAAAGCACCAAAGGGAAATACATGGTGGCTGTGGAGATCTTCTCCATCTTAGCCTCAAGTGCTGGATTATTGGTCCTCATTTTCTCCCCCAAAGTTTACATCATCTTGATAAGGCCTGAGCTGAATAACAGGCAACAACTCATGCAAAAAAACATCATAAAATGAGTTAAAGGAATCAATCTTGATGTACACAATTGGATTTAGATCAGTGATTGTTGCCAGCAATAATATGTGCCTTAAGTGCTTTTGAAAATGAAATGGTTGTGTATTAGTGTAATAATAAAATGTATAATTTTCTATGTCTTTCCATTCTATAATGCCTATGGTTTAATAATTAAAGCATTATAGAGATAAAGTCTATCCCAACATATGAACAAACTTGATTTTGACAGCTTTAAATGTTGAACTGTCCTGCCCCCTGAAGCTGCAAGATTCAATGAGTCACAATACTTAGCAATTATGGTTCCTGAAGAAAATTTTGAAAAGTGTAAACAGGAAATATTGTTAAACAATCTTCTAGTAAACCAAAAGAAAAAGACTAATCTGAGTGATTCATGTTTCAGTGGTGGGTACAGAAGTCCAAGAGCATCAAAATACAAAAGAAGTTCAGGTTTGTTCAGATTGTGAGGATGTCTAACAGGTGACTGCAGAAATATAGAATCTGGACCATCTACATGCCTGCAGACCTGTGGATTTTTGATTGATTAATTTGAATAAGAGTCCTTACCCAGATCTGGCTATATATACCTGCATTTCCAAAAGTATGTTCATTTATTTGATGCATATGAGGGCAACAGAGATTGCAATCAAAATCTCAAGGAGGAATATTAAGGTAATTGAGGCTGCCAAAAGTCTGGATTTCTAACATTTATAAAAATCATAATTTAAAAAAGAATGCAGAATAAGTCAAGTTAGTATAATGGTTAAGAAGCTTGCTAGGAATGGGAAAGCCTAGGTTTTTGGGGGGAGGTGTTTTGTTTTGTTTTCTTTTTACAACCCTGTAATCTCTTTTATTGGGATGACAATGGAACTGAGCATTTACTGGCCAGATGCCCTTCCTGATGCCTACATGGAGTTCACAGCAGATATTTTCGCCTTGTGTCCTGATAGAGAAACATCTGTTGCTGCCTAGGACTGAACTCTCAAACATCTTCACCTCTAGGCCATCGCACCACTCAAATGGGGAAGGCTAGTTTATTGTCTTTATTTCAGCATGGAAGCCAGCAGGATGACCTTAGAACTTCCTTCTCTCTCAAACTTGGACATGAAAAATATCTCAGAGAAAAACCATTTGTTGCAATATTCCCAAGAAAATGGCATGGACTAATCCATTCTGCTAAAGGAAAAGAGGAGAAAAGAAGCAGCTTAAGAATACCAGACAGAAAATTCAACTTGACTGTTGAAGGATGGTTCATCAGCCACATCTTTGCACCCATTAAGAAATCCTCCACCTGGGAAAGATCGAGGAAACAGAATGAGAAGAACATTGTGGATGGTGGAGGAATCAACTGAAGTGAGCAAATTGAACAAGAATCAGGGGGAAAATCGCTTAGGGGCCCAATGAGTTAGAGTTCCAACCGGGGACAGGTCTGACTGTTATGAAAAAAAAAAAACAGGGGCACCCAAAAAGCTACACTCAAGTCCAAAATTCTTGCATACACTACAGCTTTAAAAATAAAAGATTTCTGTAATAAATCTGCTTCTGAAGAGGAAAGATTATCATTGATCTGCAGATCAATACAGGTTAGGCCCTTACCTCAACTGACTTTTCCTGTTTCTATCTTCAATTTCCTCTGAAACAATGGAAAGAATATTAAACAGGGCAGCCCAAAGGGAACTCAGTTGAAGGGTTATGTATTTTTAGGTCCATTGTATAGTTGGCAATTATTTAAAAAAAAATGGTTGGGCATTCAATTGCATAGGAATAGCTGTACTCTCAACTTCTTCAACCCTGCCCGACATTAAATTACATTTTCTCAAAAATTAAAAGGATTGGAATTGCGTGGTGTTGATCAAAATGGTTTTGATCCCATACTGCTATATTGGTATTCTGACCCAACCTAATTCTGAGGACACCACTGATACATGTGGGTATTTGTGTGTGCATGTATGTGCAAGTGTGTGTAATTAAATTTATATGCTGCCCAATTTCCAGTGGCTCTATGTAGCTTATCAACAAGAAGAAACACAAACACACATAGAGAGAGAGAGAGAGAGAGAGAGAGAGAGAGAGAGAGAGAGAGAGAGAGAGAGAGAGAGAGAGAGAGAGAGAGAGTAAAAATGGCACAGATTTAAAAAAACAAGTGGAACTAAATCATGGCCCCAAAATTTCATTGTTTTATTGAAGGAACTGGCTGGACAAATATGATGGGAGACAGGCAATCCCTCAAATAATCAGGCCCCATGCCCTGTAGGGCTCTATGCAGTGGTGAGATTCAGCCAGTTTGCACCAGTTCGGCAGAACCGGTAGCTAATTTTTTGTTGACCAGGCCCAGAATGGACCTCCATAAGTGGCATACACACAGAGAACTGGTTTTTCACATATTTGAATCCCACCACTGGCTCTATGGGTAGAAATCAAGACCTTGAATATATCATGAAGAATAAAATTGACAGCTAGTACAATTCATGAAGCAGATGTGTCATATGAGCATACGGCATGTTCATCATTGCTTATACCACTGCATTTGGACCAGATGAAATAATATTTTCACGGGCAGCTCCATATAGAGTGCACAGCCGTAGTCAAACCATGTGTCATTCATGGCATGAGTGACTGCCTGAAGGGTCCTCAATCTTTCAAAAATTTCAAGGAAGGAGAACAACTGGTACATTAGAAAGTATATATCCTAAATAGAATTACCCTAAAATGCCCCTTCTGTCTTGTTATATTAATACAATGAAAAAAAAAAACAATTGAAATATGCAATCAAGATGTTTTCTTCTACAGTATTGTAAATAATCCATGATTATGCAAAGGTGATTATCTCCCTGTAGTTTATCGATCTGACAACAGTAACTTCTACTTCTCCTAAAGAACAACTAAAGACCATGGCAGAAAAGAGGCAAGATTAAAGTATACTATTAAAAGATGTTTTGCTGTTCAAAAATGGGTACAGACCAGTTGGAGACTGTCCCCTGAAGATTCTGAGTGCAAAAACTATGAGAGGGCACTAAAGTCATCCAGAATTCCTTAATGACATTTAATTATGACCATTCAACTCTATTATTCTGTTCTGTTATTCTGTTATTTTTTTTATGATCACATATAACCCATCCCATCAAACCCAAAGAAAATCTGGAATGGTATAGGATCTCCTGCCATGGGCAGGGGGTTGGACTAGAAGACTTTCAAAGTTCCTTACAATCCTATTATTCTATGTTCTAAGTATGTATCTTGAATCAGTCATCACAATGGATATAACATTAGTGAGATATGGATCATATATGTTGGCTTTTAAAGTAAAGATTAGATTAGAACAGACATGTCACATTAGCGATGTCACATGATGTTGCGTGATGTATTGGAGTTTTTTCCCCATTGCAGGCAATGGGGTGGGCATGGTTTCATCATGACGCATCTATCCCTTGGACCGGCAGTTTGACACCCCTGGATTAGAATATCATAAACACACATGGTGTGTGTGTAATTTTGTTTATTTTATTTAAAAGACATATATGGCTACCCATCTTGTAGAACATAACTCTGGCTTACAATAACCATGGTAAAAAATTGCCTTGTGTGCAGATCAATATAAGGTACATTAAAGTCCCCTTTGAATTGAAGCATCCTCAGGATACCTAAGACCACAATAGTCCATCATGGGGAACCAATGTTATCTAAATGATTGTTTCTATGTCTAAACTACTAAACTTCACAACCCTCAATTAATTGATATTCCTGGTATAAGGGTGGATGAATACATGTAAAAAATCAGTGAATTATCATACTTTAGCAGAGGTTTTTAAAAATAGAAAAATTCTGAACTGAAACTTATTGAACCAAGTCTACATTGGAACCCCACAAACTCAACTGAAATAAATATAGGAATAGCAAACATGATCCCTCAAAACAAGCTTCCTTGCAACATTATTTTTTGTCATCTTGCCTATTTTGACCCCACCTGGAAATACTCCTGCTAAACACTCTTTTTAGAAAGTTGCATTCTTTTGAAACTTCTTAGGAAAAAATAAAAGTTTTGTTGAAATGATAGGTTGGAAAATTATTTTCTTCTGCTACATGAAAGAATTTCTAATGATAAGCAGATGTTTAAATTCCCCATAATTATACAATTGATGCTGATTACTTGGCATCAGCATCAACTCCTTCAGATGACAAGGGATTTTCTGGTAGTGACTAGCAAAACAGAATCAAGATTGGAGATTCTTCTTAATCTATGCTGGAACATTTGGCCCAAGGAGTTTAAAGCAATTGGGAGCTCTGAATGTATTGATGAAACTGACATTACTGGCCATACAAGGATGCCAGCTCTTGAATGACTAGAAAAACACAGGTGACTTGATGTTAACAAGATGTAAATGCAAGATCATGCACTTTATTCTCTGGATTCTCATACTGTTTCCTTGGACATCATGTGATGTTCCAGTTGCTAAATGCATGAACAGTGACCCACGGAATATCAACCACAAATATGATCAGCCAGGGGATGTCATCATAGCTGGCATTAGTTCACAAAGCTTCATGTTTTCCAATCCTCTCAATTTTGAAAGGCATCCCTCTTCTGAAGTCCTTGATGACCTCATGTAAGCAATTGGTACCTTAATCAAATGGTTCAGGTGATAAGTCTCTTCTTAGATTTGGGCAGCAGGTGTATCCATGACTTTTCAATCAAAACTAAAACTGAGAGATGTACTATCCTTTAAGTTTCAATGAGCTATAATATTCATCCAATGAAAGAGATTTCAGGCAAAGGTGAACAAATAACATATCACTTTACATTATGTTCCCAAGAAAGATGATCAATTAAATTTTCTATGGTTGGATATTACTGAGATTCATTCCATCCTCCCCGTTTCTTTGTGACATATTGCGATCATTCTCATTATACTTCTTCTGTAACTTGCAATAAATTTTAAAAGAATTGTTCCTTTTCATTTTCCTGAACATCCAAGGAAGATTGATACTAATTTATTTGGAATATTCTTTATTGACCAAGTGTGATTGGACACACAAGGAATTAGTCTCCAATGCATAAGCTCTTAGTATACATATAAACAACAAAGTGGTAAATCATAAGATACAACCATAAATTATAAGATGTAAGATTTCCATTATAAAAATCTCCCACCTTTCATTAAGAACTGTGAATTGAAATCTATTAAAAATATAAATCAGTAAAATAATCCTTAACAATATCAGGATGGGAGTTGAATGTAGCATGTAGCAGAAAATGAATTTGCAACCAAGCAGAATTCTTGGAAGTTGGCTAAAATAAGGGGAACCTCGCATTTTAAAATGAGGATGTTCGACTAATGGAAATCCTATCTCTAAGAGTAGGCATGCAGTCCATGACTAAACCACATTTCCTGCTAAGATATGCAGTTGGTAGAACTCTTTCCATTCATATCCAAGGTCACTTCTTGTTTTCTGTCACAGATATTCCCTTGTTAAAAATGAAAGTTAACACTAACATGCATTTGGAATCAGCCTCTAGACAGAGATAGTTAGATGGAGATTTAAATGCAGCTCACTGAAATGTATGCATTTTTATGCTAGGTTTTGAAAAATGTACCCTTTTGTCATGGTGCCTTAGAAAGTCTATGGATGTTCTGCCAAAACAAAAAGAGTTTTGCTGAATCCCATCTTTTCAGTTGAAAATAGTTGAGAACCTACTCCTGAGTTTCATCATGAAGTTGCTCGGATATGATCCTGTAATATTACAAAATACAATATCTATATGTTAAGGGAATAGGAATTTAACAAGCTTTAAACTTCTTAAGTAGGGTGGACGCAGCCTGGGGGGAATGGGTAGGCGATACCAATGGTTATGAATTTATTTTATTCTAAAATTGTATTTTTTATGATGTATAAATGGAAAAAATAAAAAACTTTTAATAAAAAAATAAATAAATAAACTTCTTAAGTAGAGACAATTCACAGGTGCAGGTAAATCTCATTACAGATTTTTGACTCAGACCTACCAGCACATCTTGGCTCTTGTCTTTGCTGTGATGGAGATCAACGATGATACCCAGATGTTGCGCAACATCTCCTTGGGTTTCAAAATTTATAATGCCTACTTCACTGAAAGCTTAACTTATCTTGCTTCACTGGAGCTCCTCTCCACATGGGGCAGGTTCATTCCAAACTATAAATGTGATGCCCAAAGTACTACTGTAGCTGTGATTGGGGGACCCGACTCCAAAGCTTGTCTTTTCATGGCAACCATTCTGAGCATCTACAAGTTACCACAGGTAAGATAGACATCCAGAGCATCAGATTTTAAAAGCCAGATGAGGCTCTCTCATTTTGTTTTGTTTTTAAGTAAGAATTTTTATTAATTTGGGACAAAGAAGATGACATCATCCTAAAAGAGATGTTTATTCTGTGCATTAAACATGAATCCTGACCTAAAACCTTTTAAAAGTCATTTTGAATTAGCATTTCACAGCATCCATCCTGGAGTGAGGAAGGGGCATAGATCCAATGGGAGTCAGTCATCAGGACCAGAGGTTTACTCCTCCAAGCTTTCAGATTTGTGCTGGAGTCCAACCTCAGAGATGTAGACATATTCTATAGAGGGAAATTCCTTGAAGCTGGGCTCCAGCACAAGTCCAAAAGCTTAGACTTGTGGTCCTGGTGACCAACACAGATTGGATCTTGCCAGATTATCCTGGGACATGTATATTTGCCTTCATTCATGAAGGGGCCATAGTCTGGAGCAGGCAGAAGTTTCAAGGCCTCCACTTGTCAATAGGAAGCAAAAGCTCAGGGAGTTGGCTGGAAAGATATTTCAAAGCAACAGCATCTACCAGAGGGGAGTTAAAGCTGCCATTTAGTCGTCATGATTTTGTTATCAAACCCTTGTTTGTTTATTGCATCTAACCCCCATTGGACCCTCTATGGCACAGTAAACTTGGAGAAAGGAGTTCCACAAGGATGTGTTTTTGCTCTTTCTCTTTTCAATTGCTATGTTAATTCATTGGTAGGCCTTTTTCAAAACATGGATATTCATGCACCCAATTTATCACAGTACAAAATTCAAATACCTATATGCTGATGCTACTGATGCTATAATTTTCACAAACTTCTGGACTGAACAGAGGACACATAGTAATATCTTATATGTACTTCATGTACTGCAGATAAAATCATTTTATTTTCAATTTTGATAATTCAAAAATTTTGGATTTCATTAAGCAGTATCCCTGGGGAATAGAAAGGTATAAATTAGAATCAGTCAGCACATTTAAATACCTTGGGGTAATTTTCCACTTGAAAGATACATGGAATGCACCATAGAATTAAAATTAGGATAGGGTAGGGTAGGGTAGAGTAGGATGGAATAGAATAGAATAGAGTAGAGTAGAGTAGAGTAGAGTAGAGTAGAGTAGAGTAGAGTAGAGCAGAGCAGAGCAGAGCAGAGCAGAGCAAAATATTTGGCCAGGTGTGGTCAGCCCTTAGATCAATGAAAGCCATCCAACATTTCTTTTGCACTGGCAAAAGATAATTAGTTCCCATGGCTTTAAAACTTTTTGAAGGCAAAATATTGGCTCAAATTCTTTACCGGACAGAAACAGGAATCTTGTACAGTAGAAGGAGCTGCAGGAAACAGTGCAAACAAATTTCTGATTTGAGACAGTAATGCAGAAATTCAGGTTATGGACTGGAACAGTGGTGGTGAACCAACGGCATGCAGAGCCATTTCTGTGGGCACATGCACAGCTGCTGCTGCCAGCAGTTTGTGCAGGTCCAGGCTCAGAGCGGTAGCCCCATCCAGCACAAAGGAGGTGAAGCAGCCAGCTAACAAGCCTTGTATAGAGGTGCACGCCCATGCCCAGGAAGCAAAAGGCCACTCCGAGCAGGGAAAGTGCCATGGTGCCAATTGGCGCCATGGCCCCCCAGTCCCAGCAAGGATTGTGTGCCTCCCCTGTCTCTGCTGGGACTGGGGGGGCATGGTGCCAATTGGGATCTGGCTTTCCCCGCTCAGGGTGGCCTTTTGCCTGCTGGGTGTAGGTGTGCACCTCTACGCAGGACTTGCTAGCTGGCCATTTTGCCTCCTTTGTGCTGGGTGGGCCAGGCCTCCAGGTGGTGGCGGCAGCCTAATGGACTTGTGGACCCTGGCCCAAATCCGCCTCCCATGTGCCTCACAGTCCTCTCCTTCTGCACCTGCCAACTCAGAGCCCAACTAGGAGGACCCCAGCTGCCCATGCCATGCCGCCCTGGCCCTGATGCCACACACCCCGCTGGCAGCCACTGCCAGCACAGCAGTAGCAGCCTCTCATAACACAGCTGGGAGCTCACCTGCTGCCCAGCTCACCCACCCGCATGGAGTCCCAGTGCGACTACATGTATTTCCCGGCTGTGCCTTTCCCGGCCCACAAGGTGCTTCTGGGGGAGGCAGGCTGCTACTGGGCCTTGCCCCAGAGGAACCATCTCTATCTGGGTGAGACAGTCTGCTTCTTGCTGGTCCTGCGGTGCTGCTTGGGAGCCAGTGGTACTCCGCAGCCACCCTGGAAGAAACTGGCAGGCTCGCTCTTGGCCCAGGTGGCACCAGCGTTGGTGTTGAACATGAGGCCATCCTTGGTGAAGCAGCAGAGGAGGGTGCAGCTGGATCTGGAGAGGCAGCCACCAACGGAAGCATCTTCCAGGAGAGCCAGGTGCTCCTGACCCACGGCCCCGGCACCCTGGGAAGACTGCAATTGCCATCCCCCCTGAGGAGCCCATCATGTCCATTGACGAAGTCATCTTTCTGCTGACCATTTCTCTGGACAAGCTGCCCACCACTACCGTCAAAGCCAAAAGTGTGGCGACCATCTGGAGATGCGACCAAGAAAGAGGTGAGGTCCGGGAACGCAGCTACCTCAGCATCTTGCAGGATTAGGCCCCTTCCCAGATTTTCCACAAAGAGCAAGGCGCCTTCTAGGGTGGAGGCAGGCAGTGCAGATTCCCCATGCACGAGACTGGGATTTTTTCCTTACTATTGGATTTTCCCTACCAGATTGTTTACCTTGATGCAGAAATGGAAGGATATACATTCTGCATCAAGTAAACTTTTAAGAAGTTAAAGAGTTGGTGTCTGGTAGCAAAAATCCTCCCCCTCAACCCTGTGCCTCAGGTCAATGCCGCCAGCAGCTTGCTCAGGTCCATTAGGCTGCTGCCGCTGAGGAGAAGAATGATGAGGTTTTGTGCCAGCCGGCTGACCAGACAAGGAGTAGGTCAGGGAATGGTGGCTGGCTGGCTAGGGAAGGGGAATCATGGCTGCTTGGGGGGGATTTGCCAAGCCTCAGGGCAGCAGCATTGGCAGCTCCCCCCACCCAGCCCACTTCCCCAGCTCTGTTTTTGGAGGTGCTTCTGATCAGCTTCAGCATGCCATGGAGAGCCTGGCTGATACAGGCAATGCAGGAGTGCACACAGATTTCACTTTTTTCCTTTGACAGTGATGGGGTTAGGGTTGCTGCAGCTGATCAGAAACACCACCAAAAACAGCAGAGTCTGTGTGCATGCCTGTTATGCATGCACCCATCAGCCATGCTCCCCATGCCTCGGATCAGCTTCAGCATGCTGTGGACAGCAAGGCTGATGTGGGCTAGGCAGGCTTGCAAAGAGACTCCATTTTTTTCAGAGGGGCTTCGGTGCCTGGTCGGCTCAGCCAATTTTCCTCTTTCTTTTCCCCATTCCTCCTCCTCCTTTGACAGTGGTGGAGTTTGGGGGATGATCAATCCCCATTTGTGGCGTGGCTGCCAACTAATCACCATGTCATCCTCTGAGGAGGGCAACACCAGCAGCCAATGGTGCAGCAAGAAAAGTGGAAGGCAATGTCGCCCACCAGACCTGCTTGGTGACAGAGTAACTGCCCTTCTCCTCAGCTCCAGGAAGCTTGTGCAATGGAAACTTTGATGGTGAGGGCCATGAGGCACTTGCTGAAGGAGCTGCTACCAGTAATGGAGCCAGGGAAGTGAGCCGGGTGGGGGGAGCTGCCAATGCCACTGCCCTGAGGCTTGGCAGATCTCCCCCCAAGCAGCCATGATTCCTCCTCCCCAGCCAGCCAGCCACTTGTCCTACTCCTTGCCTGGCCAGCCAGCTGGCACAAAACCTCACCACTCTTCTCCTCGGCGGAGGCAGGCTAATTGACCTAAGCAAGCTGCTGGCGGTGCTGGCCTGACGCATGGGGGGAGAGGGAGGCAGGCAATGTAGCGGCTTGGGTACCTCAGATCCATCCAAGTTGAAAGTGGAGGTGTAGCATGGGGATTGCTCTCAATAAGAGCCGGGTGCATTTCTCGCTTGTGTGCGCCTGTCTTATTGAAAGCAATCCTGCTGCTGCGCCTCCGCTTTCTTTAACTTAGATGGAGCTGAGGAACTGCTGGTGGCTGCTTGAGTGTGGAGGAGGAACTTTGGTGCTGCTGCTGGGCCACACCTGGGCTACACCCTGCCACTTCCTCCCAAAAATCCACCTTCACACTGGGTGTGAGTAGCGATGGGGCGCTCCATCTTGGGGAGAAAGCAGCAGCATCCTAACCCTAACCCCTGCCCTGCCCCTCCCTCGCCTTGCCTCACCCTGCAGGATGAGCCTCCTGCCCACTGCCCACCCATCAGAGACCCCCTGGATCTCCCCCAACCCTGCCCGGCCCCCACAGGCATCCCTCCCCAGGAGCAACACTGAGGTGGCCACGCCCACCCTGGCCACACCCACCCAGTCTGCCATGACCACCATAGCATGCCCACCCCGTGGGCCATGCCAATCCCATGGACCATGCCAACCCCCTGGGCCAAGCCAACCCTGTGGGCCATGCCCACCTGACACCCGGCAATACATAAGTGGGTTTTGGGTTGCAGTTTGGGCACTCAGTCTCTAAAAGGTTTGCCATCACTGGACCAGAAGATGATAACTTATTGGCTTAAAATGCTGTTTTTCCTAACTGGTCTGACTCCTTTAGTAGATAACTTTCCCTCACCCTGTAAATAAATGGTATGCTATAAACTGACTTTATGTGGACTCTTCGCAATTCCTAATATTATTAGATTACAATCAAGCTAAGCAATTAATTACAAGTGCTCCTCCTCCTCCTATGTCGATAATTGAGCCCAAAATTTCTGCTGCAGTTAAGTGAATTTTGCCCATTTTATGACCTTTTTCTGCCACAGTGGTTAAGTTAGTAATTTAATGGCTGCAGTGGTTAAGTTAGTAACATGATTAAGTGAATCTGGCTTCCTCATTGATTTTGCTTGGCAGAAGGCTGCAAAAAAATGATCACATGATTCCAGGGCATAGCAGTCTACATTTTGGCCCTAATAAATAAACTATCTGTGAGTCCAGATAAATTTTATATGAACCTTCTCCTTCAGGATCTAAAACCATTCATTATGTGTGCAAGTAGCTAAATGTTGTGATGCCGAAATGAAAGGGAGACAAAATTGGTTAATCACCTTTTTTAAAATGTTACTATTGGTTTGATTAATCTTATTTACTAAATCATTAGATGAAATATAGTTTTTATCTTATATCTATTAATATTTTAGATTTAGATTATTTGAGTTACAAATGTATTAATATAGTAATAAGGGAGTGAATGTTATATTATTATGTGATTTATTTTGTAAGTTGCTAGTGTATTATTATATCTATTTGCCTCACTGTTTTTGTTGTTTTGCTGCTCATTGACTGAATCGATATTATTGTAATGTCACGACTATATTTGGGTAACATTTAACAATTCAATTAGCTAATTCTTAGGTTTGTTTTCTTTTATAGCTATCAATACTCTTCTCTCATTCTATCAAGTCATGTTACTAAAATAAACATATGACCTCAAGTTCTACCAGAAAGGGTATGATTTAATTTCTTAGAGGAACATATTTCAATTCTGTCTTAAAAAACTCAGAAACAACTTTCTGGTTGATGAGAACTCCATTCTCCAAATCATGTTAATGGTCTTGACTGATATAGTCTACATATTTAAAAAGTACCAATTGATGCTGCACCCTTTCCATGTCCAAACTAAAAGGATTACTATCTACTGTTACAGTCCTAATTTGGTCAAATCATCTCTTTTCCCATTCTTGGGCAATTATTTTGGTGGAGATTTGTCTTTATTGTGGAATATGAGTAGTTATTGCAATAAGAAGTGAAAAACAAATGAAAACTTTTGGAAAATAGAGAAAAGTCAAGCTCTATTCTAACAGGACTTATTCCCATCACTTTTCATCTTCCATTCTTTTCCAAAATACGAGATGGATATCCAACCTTTGGATACTAAAAGTTTACCTACACAAATCATACCTAATTAGTCTTTCTTTTCTTTGTAGCTTGGATATGGATCTTCTCCTGTGATTAATGACCCATTCCAACAAGTCTTCTTCCAATGGATGTTCCCTAATAGAAATCAACATTACACGGGGATGCTCCAATTGCTTTTGCTTTTCAGATGGACCTGGATTGGTATCCTTTTTATACAGGATGACAATGGCCTCAGGTTTATACAGAAGGAACTTCCCAAGTTTTCCCAGCATGGTATCTGCTTTGATTTCATAGAACCATTCCCAACTGTGTATTTCAAAACTGGCATTCATGAAATGATGGAATCATGGGTTAAACTGTATGTCTTGATAAGTGATAGCAGTGCCAGTGTTGTGGTTTTACATGGTGAAATTCATACTACAATCTTTTTGAGAATGTTTCCCAGAATTTTGGAAGTTGAAGATAAACAAATGAAGACAGGTAAAGTCTGGATAATGGTGGCACAAATAGAATTCACTTCTGTTCCCTTTCAACAATCTTGGGATATAGATATCCTTCATGGTTCCTTGGCTTTTGCAACCCAGTCAAAGGAAGTGGTAGGTTTCCACAATTTTCTTCGGATGAGAAACCCTAATATGGAAATTAGAGATAGTTTTATTAAGGACTTTTGGAGACAGGCATTTGATTGTTCCTTCTCAACTTCCTTCAAAAAGGACAATGTTTGGAATCGCTGCAGTGGGGAGGAGAAACTAGAGACTCTTCCTAGGTCTGTCTTTGACATGAGCATAACTCCCCACAGCTACAGTGTCTACAATGCAGTTTATGCTGTAGCCAATGCATTCAAATCCATGAGCTTATCAATGCTCAAACAAAGAACTTTATCAGAGGAAGGACAAAATAATGTTCTGAATTCAATGCTTTGGCAGGTAATGTCTTGAAATCACAAATGGAGGGAAATTGTCATAAGTTAGGTTCCCACTCTCATGAATGCTTGTCTACATATACTGAACTCTTTACTGTATAATATTAACGTTATCTATTATATGATGATGATGATGATGATGATGTTATCCATTCAGTTGTGTCCAAGTCTTGGCGATTCTATGGGGCAGGCTTCTCAACATATTCTGATATTGAATTACTTCTTTCAGTTTTTCAATGCTCTTGTTGGTGTCAGCTTTGATGGTGTCCAGCCATCATGTTCTTTGGTGACCAGGTTTCCTTTACCGTTAACTCTTCCAAATATAATTCCTTGCTCCAGTGAATTCACCTGCATGAAATGGCCAAATCAACTGACACAGCTAATATCTAACTATGTCAAAATGCATAGGATGCTGCTGTTGAAATAATTTCAAGAAAGACCATAGGAACAGAGCTTATTTTTATGAGAACTCTAATTCTTAAAGTTATAGTAGAGAGTTAGGAACACTGTTTGATATCTGATTCAAGAATCTTGGTTTGTCTCTTTGCTCAGAACTTTTAATTCAAGTTAGTTATGGTGTCTTGGTTCTTTATATTTCTTCTTCTTCTTCTTCCTCTTCTTCTTCTTCTTCTTTAGATAACCTTTATTGTCGGCACAACGGCACACATTAAAAATGAAATTTAGTTGCTTGCACTAAATACATAACACACATTTAAAACATACTATATACAACATATGTATAGACCTACACACTTACATATAAGTAACATATATGTACTTATAATGTATAATCTTCCTCCTCATCTTCCTCATCCTCATTCTCCTCATCCTAATCCTTCTTGCTTGATTTGACTTCATGTTTAAATTGTTGACATATTGTAAGCACCAATAATAAGCACCTGGTTAATTATATTATTATATTATGAATGTTGATAGTTTGATTAGGCATTACTAATTTAGTTCTGTGAAATATCCTTTCTGTTATATTGTTTGTATTACATTTGCATAGCTTTATTGCTTTTTTTCCATTTTCATTTTAGCTCCACCATTATCTCAGAAAAGGCTCATTTAACAACAGTGTTGGGCAGATGATTTCTTTTGATCAAAATGGGAATTTGGAAGTAGGATTTGATATTATCAATTGGATCACATTCCCAAACAAAACACTATATCGAATCAAAGTAGGAACATTTGATCTCAGAGCTCCCAAAGACAATGCTTTTAGTCTTTTTGTTGATGCCATCAGATGGTCAAGGAGATTTAACCAGGTATATTCTGTCCATAGTCTGCAGTCCATCTCATTGTTTCCTCTATTCCAAGTTTAGAATATAAATAATAAAGTAGCCATATTGCCCTCTTAGGTTAAGTCAATTAATTGATGCTTACTCCATATATCTACATAAGCAACATTGATTTGAAAGATTCTAAATAGTTTAATGACTGAGGATTCTGAGAGATCATCTTTTGAGGACTTCAGAGGTGTCCATTTTTGAATATATATGTACTTCTGATAGCTATGTATTCTTCTGCAAAGATTTTAAAATTGCTTTTCATTCAGAGAATCACTACTCAACAATACTGGTAGATGACAGCTTAATGAAAAGAAGAACAGGGGTGACATGATAGCAAAGGGATTGCCACAAAGAGGAGGGGGTCAATCTATTTTCCAAAGCACCAGAAGGCAAGACAAGAAACAATGGGTGGAAACTAATCAAGGAGAGAAGCAATCTGGAATTAAGGAGAAACTTCCTAACAGCGAGGACAATTAACCAGTGAAACAACTTGCTTTCAAAAGTTGTGGGTGCTTCATCATTGGAGGTTTTAAAGAAATGACTGGATAGCCACCTATTTGAAATGGTATAGGGTCTCCTGCTTGAGTAGGGGGTTCAACTAGCATACCTCCAAGGTTCCTTCCAGCTCTATTCTGATTGATTGATTGATTGATTGATTGATTGAAATATCTTGATTAAAGGACCTTCTAATTACAGGTATCTGAAAGGACAAACATATAGGTTGGCTTGAAAAGCTAATGGTTTTCAATCCTTGAATGTTTTTACTCACAGAAATATGGATAGAAGAGGCTACTAAAGTAGTAAATATGCTAATTTGCATTTGTGACCATAGCCAAGTAGCAATAAGCATATATCATGATCTATTTTGGGATCTTGTCTCTAAATCTACAGTTCATGCAAATTTTGATTACAGTAATAATTTAATCTCTTTTGACACTTGGCCCAGGTATTTTCACAGTGTGCTCCAACTACTCAGAAGTCTGCAAAATTATTCAATATAGATTAATTGTGGTGACTATAACAAATGATGTTTTCTGTTTATTGGAATGATGCATCTAATAGTTTAATGTGCATCCTTCAGTCAATTTTCATGCTTATTATGACACTACTGAGTATTTTTCGGGTGTAGTGTCTCTCATGTTCTTTTACTTGGGTATGGAAACTGTGCTTTGTGATACCACCATATATCTGCCCACACTACAGGATATGCAATACAGACTGGTTTGTCAGTTGGTCTCTGCTGTCTTTGGTTAATCAGATGATTTCTTGATTATTATTTTTTTAGTCAAGTTGTAGAATATTTTAAGGTGGTACGTTCTTAAAAAAATTCCTGTTTGGTAAATGGCCTTCTCTATGTAGGGGAGAAATACATTTCCTATTTATTATTATTCACCTCCTTAGATGTCATACTCAGCCAATCTCATTAGTGAAGCATCCATTAGCATATAGAGCCTGATTAAGGTATCTTAATTCCCTAGACCAGTGCTTCTCAACGTTTGTGTGACGGCGACCCCCGCCACACAAATGTTCTGTGCATGCACGGCGCCACGCGCATGGGGGCGGGGCCCCATGCGCAGCGCACATGCACGACGGCTCCCCCATGTGCGGCGCGCATGCACGGCGCCGCGAAAAATGGCAGATCGCCACCTTTGGCGACCGCCGAAAAATGGTCGATCGACCCCAAATGGGGTCGCGACCCATAGGTTGAGAACCGCTGCCCTAGACAATTTCTTAGACTTGCAGATACATCTGGCATGGTTGTCTACCATTTTGATCATGCTTCTCTTTTGACTGGGATGATGATTGGAGTCTTTATGTAGCTGGACATCTGTATGGTTGGGTTTCTGCAGTGCTATGTGACTTGCTTGTAGTTTCTCAATTTTGATGGTTAGGACATCTAGAAATGGGAGTTCTTCTTTACTATGGATGCAGATCACAAGGGTGACGTCTATTTACTAGAATAATAAACATGGTTTTAGAGTGCCCAGTGCCTGCTGTTAGAATGTTTTATATATTTATGCTTGACAATATATGCCCTGTTTCTTTCTTTCTTTTTCTTCTATTATACATTTTTGTATGCTTTATCTTTTTCTTTGATTTTTGTATTTAGTTAATAAGAGCTTTTTTTAAAAAAAAAGACGTGAACATTACTTCCAAGCTATTAGTCTGGCTGTCTAATTAGAAATAAAGTTATACAGCTTCAATCCAAGATTCAAGTCTTGTACTTTACCATTTGTTCAATAGATTTTGCTAAGAGTTAAAGCAATTGTGACTTCCCATTGAACACAGGTACAGCCTCGTTCTTTGTGTAATGAACCCTGCTCTAAAGGTCACAGCAAGACCAAGAAGGAAGGAAAGCCATTTTGTTGTTATGATTGTCTTTATGCCCACAAGAAAAAGTGTCAAACTGGACAGGTAAGGCATAATGTCTATCGAGTTTTAATCCATTGGTGATGGTAATGGTATTACAATGGTATTACAGGCAGAATAGAAATAAGATTGTGTTGCTCCATTGTGATGCAAGCTCTGTCTTCTTTTGCTATGTTGGTGATGTTGTTCCACACATACAGTGATAGAGTTTGCATCCCATCATTCTTTTCATCATTTGCTCTCCTTTGTGGATTCCTCTGGGGCCAAGTATTGGGTCCAATTTTTTATCCAGACCAGAGATCAGAAAAATGGGATTCATATTTTCTAATAATGTGGGAAATAGAATTTTTCCCCTGGTAGGATGTTATAAAATGCACAAGGAAGACAATGCAGGGATTTTTCCAGTTATGAACTTTGGTTTTGTATTTCCATAAACTGCATAGGAATCATACAGAATTGTAATGCTCTTTGTGTAGAAATTTTGCAGAATGGGATGAGAGTTACAGAAAAGTTCAAGGTTTAGAAGAGAACAAATCATGCCCATTTTCATTAAAATTGGTAGAACAGTTTTCAGACTACCTTCTTTGAAATCTGACTTGGAATATCCTTAGGTTGTTGAGACACATAGTACATGAAGAAGAGTTGTAAGGAGAATAAAATGTGTGTTAGTTTTTGTGGCTGAACTCACATAAGTCTCTCCACAGTTTATCATGACTGTTCAGTTTTGACTTTGGCCCTATCTTTTTCTCAATTCAACATATACCACAAGGTTGTTTTTTTAGAGAAAGCAAGACAACCGAGGGGTAGGTGTGTGGCCTAGAACATCTGAAGGAAAAGTGGGATATAAACCTAATGAATGAAAAGGAAATAAAAAAATGGTTTGGGGATGATAATGATGATGATGATGATGAGGATGAGGAGGAGGAGGATGTTATCCATTTAGTCATGTCCACCTGTGGTGATTCTATGGGCCAGTTCTCCCCATATCTTCTGATCTTGGTCTACTTTTTTTTTAGTTGTTCTGTGCCAAAGAGACTTTTTCCCCCTTTTTCAGACATGGATTCTTGTTATCAGTGTCCAGAGGATCACTATCCCAGCAAAGCCCAGGATCAGTGCATTCCAAAAGAGATCAGCTTCCTATCATTTCAAGAACCTTTGGGGATCACCTTGACCATTTTTGCTCTTTTATTTTCTTCCATCACAGCTCTGGTCCTTGTGGTCTTTGTCCAGCACAAAAATACCCCCATAGTCAAGGCCAACAATCAGAGCCTCAGCTACACCCTCCTTGTCTCCCTTCTGCTTTCCTTTCTCTGCCCTTTGTTTTTCATTGGTCGGCCTCAGACGGCAACCTGTCTCCTTCGCCAAACTGCTTTTGGCATCATCTTCTCTCTGGCAGTTTCTTGTGTGGTGGCCAAAACCCTCATTGTGGTCTTAGCTTTCACGGCCACCAGGCCAGATTCTAAGATGAGGTCGTGGGTAGGGAACAAGTTGGCCCTCTTCATAGTGCCTTCCTGCTCTTTTGTTCAAACTACTCTTTGTACCATGTGGCTGGTAAGCTGTGCTCCCTTCCCAGACCTTGATACACACTCACTGACTACAGAAATGGTCCTGGAGTGCAATGAAGGCTCCCCTGTCATGTTTTATTGTGTCCTGGGTTTCATTGGTCTCTTGGCTATGATCAGCTTTTCAGTGGCTTTCCTTGGCAGGAACCTTCCAGATAGTTTCAATGAAGCCAAATTTATCACCCTCAGCATGCTTCTCTTTTGCAGTGTTTGGATCTCTTTTGTTCCAGCCTACCAGAGCACCAAAGGGAAATACACAGTGGCTGTGGAGGTCTTCTCCATCTTAGCCTCAAGTGTTGGATTACTGACCCTCATTTTCTTCCCCAAACTCTACATCATCTTAATAAGACCTGAGCTGAATAACAGGCAACAACTCATGCAAAAAACCCTCATAAAATGATTTATAGTAATCAGCCTGGTAGGCAATGTAATTGAGATGAGTGACAAAACCACTCTAGAGTCGCATTGATAGATACCTTAAAAGATTTTTAAAGCAGAATGACTGGGCTTAAATGTAATAATAAATTATATGAAATTCTATATGTCTCCATTCAACCATGCCTATAGTGTAGTAAACAAAATATTCTACCACAAAATGTGGACAAAATTTTTAATTGGGAGAGCTTTGAGCAGATAAACCATCTTTCTCTCTGAAGCTACAATATAAGATTCACTGAGTTATCATACCTAAGAGGTATAATTGCTGAACAAAATTTTTAGGAGTGTAAACAGAAACAATTGTTAAAGAATAGAAGCTTGTGAGGACTTCTGGTTTGCTGAGGCAGCCAATATGGACATCTGGAAGGCAAGCTCTGCCTTCCAAGTTCAGATTCACTTCATTAGGGGACCCTGGAAAGGGTCAAAAGATGCCCTGTAGGGGCAACCAGCAAAGAGGGGATCCCCATTGGATCACAGGAGGGATCCCCTCTTCCGCTTGATCCAGGGCAGCCCTCCAAACCGGTGAATGAAAGACCGGCCATAGCAATATGGCTTGTCACTAGGCTGCAGGCAGCCAAAGTCACACTTACCATCAGGCGATTTTAAGGCAGGGTGGCTGAAACAGGGTGAGATCTACCTCTTTTAAATCCTAGCTATTTTCTTTACCTGCATAAGCTGCCTTAAGTACTTTTCCCTCTGTGGAGAGGGAAGGAAGATTTTACCCTCCCTCAAGAAACAGTGGCAACTGACTATCTAGGGGAGTTTAAAACATTGAAAGAACAACTTGATCCTAATTGGAATTCTATTTTTTAAAGTTTGTGAACTAAAAGATCTTCTATGCTTATTGAAGATTAGGGTTTTTACTTATAAGAAAGAAGCAAAACTGAAAAGATTATAAAAACTTCAGATTCAAAAGAAAACTTTTAATAGTAGGAACGACATCATGTGGCTAAGCCTGGTACTACAATTTGTTATTGTCTAAAAGAGACTTGGCCAGCAGCCCAGAAAAATGGATAAGACTTATGCAACCTTGAGAGAAGCCCAGCTGTGTTCTTTATTCAGTTACAAAATCTCTTTTTTGCATTCTCTGATTGTAAAGCTTTTAACCTAATACATTACTAAGAAAATATGGATGAAGATGAAGAACAGATTCTCTCTATGTTAAAAGCAATTCATCAAACTATTCTTACAGCTACTGATGAAATAAGAGGTTACAAAAAATAACAAGATGTCAGCCCAAATATACGAACTCAAACTTTGATTACATCTGAAAAATCAACTACATAGAATGTAACAGAAAAAGTGGAACAATTAAAGAGTATGACAGAAGATTCAATTAGTCAACAAATACAGACAATGGAAAACCCAGAAAAGGGACTGACAATATGGAAAAAGGAAAAGACTTTCTACATAAATCAGAAAGAACCTGAGGATCAAGAAAAAGAACAGATTGAAGAGAAGATTAAACAGTTCAGGACAACTACAGTGAGATGGAAAAATAAAGAGATGGTTTGTTAGTCCTCTCAAACAAATGGTGACCAGATGGATTTTTCTGTGTCAAACAATCTATATAACAATACAGGAAGATTTGTTTGATGACTCTAAAACATGGAGATGGAAGACAATTTGACAAAGAAAGAAAGCTAGAATAAGACTGAAGAAAATTGGGGATTTGACTTACTTGTGTGAATTAAAATAGAATATACCCAAAAAGCTAAGACGTTTACTTTGAAATATTACATATTGTTATGAGGTGAGAGAAAGAAAATTTGGTTATTTATAAGTTAGAAGTATAAATATTAATAGTTAAATTTGAACATTGATTTGCTTATAAAGGTTAAATGTAAAGGTAATTAAGATATATATAAGCTAAAAATCAATCGATGAAAGTAATGAATATTTTTTTACCTAGCAGTAATAATAAGAATTATTAGTTTAAATATGAGATAGTAGATATTAAGAGAAAAAGACAGGAAGTATTAAATGTTGAAATAGGAGGAATTTTGGTTACTAAATTTAAAATATCTGGAAATTACCAGAAAATAAGAATATTATATTGTATTATTAATTAGTTGATGTAAGGTGAGAACTCAAATAGATAAGACGTGTATTCTGAACATTAGATTTTATGATGAATTGTGATAAAGGGAATTGGGCTTATTTAAAATTTGGAAATTATAAATATCAAACATGAAATATAAATATTAATGGGAAACCAAAAATTGGGAAAAATTAACCAGGACATTGATTGAATGTTAAAACAACTAGGATATGTATAAACTAAAAATTATTGATAAATGCAAGAAAGTTATTTTTATTTAATTGATATAATAAGAATTGAACTAATTTAAAGATAAGACAGTAAATACTAAGGGAAAAAGAGGGGAAACATTTAATGTAATAGTCTGAGATCTGTACTAAAGATATTTGTATGCTATTGAATTATTGACCAACTCAGCCGCCGGTTGCTTTTCCAATACTTAAATGTAAAACTAGAAAACCAATAAAATTTAAAAAAGAAAAGGAATAGAAGATTGTTGTCAGCTAAAAATAAAGTTTCCCTCTGAGATTTTTAGTGTCTTCTGTGGTGGGTGCAGAGATCCAAAATTGTCCAAAAAACCTACCACCACCAACAAGAACACCAAACTCATACTTGCTCAGAATGTCAGATTGTCTAAGATCTGACAATTAACAAACTCCACTCTGGCTATAGAAATGTAGACTTCAATCCTTGTAGATGGCCCCACAGACCTGGGGATTTTTCATTAATAAATTTGACTAATAACCTTCTAAAGTCAGCTAGAACATTTTAAGGATACAAAAAACAGCAACTGATGTCCAGAAGAACTTTACTTAATGCCACTCTTTGTCGTCCTGATATTACTGTTACTACCTCAACCTACATCATGTCCCAGTTGCTGCATGCAATACCTATTACACTCTGCCATCAAGTCATTGTTATTATGAGACAGAGAACTTTATCATTGTTGGAATTATTTCTCAAGTCTACACACTTTTTGACCCTGTGACCCTGTGATGTTGGTCCATCTCATGACCTTCTGGGTAAGATTAAATAAGCCAAGATTTTTGTTAATCATAGCATTTTTGTTATCTCAAGTAGGTGGTGCTTGGGGTATTATTTGATTGAGACAGCATGTATAGGAAAGGTTGTTATACTTCCTTTATCAAAAGAGACAACTCCCTCTGTCTTCCTCTTACTTTCCCTCTTCCTCCACATCTTCAACAGGAGTGTTTCGGATTAACTGCAGACATTATTTGTGGCAAGCTACTAAATGGAAGTTAAATCCTTTGTGATCAGATAGACTATAATAAATCTATTAGATCACAATTAATCAGATTGTTATTTTCATTGTTAATACTGTATATGCCGGCGTATAAGGCGACTTCCGCAAGCGTTAAAATTGGTGCTGAAGTCGGGGGTCGTTTTATACACCGAGTCATCTTATATGCCGGAAATACTGGTAGTTTCCAGCGTATAAGCTGACGTTCTAGGCATGCGACTCGGCGCCAAAGACGGGGGTCATCTTATACGCCGGGTCGTCTTAAACGCCAGCATATATGGTATGTTATATCCCTCATTCATTAAGTCTACAGCTATGACAATATTTGTATAAATGCTATGTATAATTATTACCATAAATACTGCTCATCATTTAAGAATTTCCTGTACATCAAATCTGTGAATGGAAATTCACTGCCTTGCCTTGCATCATTTAAGAAGAGTGGCCTTGAATTCACCCTGTTTTGCAATGAAATATTGGGAATAACCAGTGTAGGTACTATGAAAAAAATTTTTACAAATTTTCATAAGTTTTTTTTTTACTGTTCATGTCCACATATCAATTGCATTTATTTTGACATTCCTTTATTTATTGAAACTGTAGTGAGCTTTATTTTTTTAGACAGTTTTGTAGTTTGTATACTGGATTCTGTGTATTGTTTTCTCACCCTTTCACAGATAAAGATGCCAAATGAATGTACAATCAGAATAAATATTTTATGCTACTTTCCCTGTTGGCATAAGTGTGAGACACTATTTTACAGTTGTAGTGGTGGCAGTAGTAGTAGTAGTAGCAGAAGAAGTAGCAATAATAGTAATAACTTTGGCTGGTACTCCATGAGTATAGGTGAAAGTCCCCTCAATAGACAAAAATAGAGCAAAAATAGTTAAGGTGCCACTTTGACTTTTTCAGTCCCTAGGGATCCTGGAGAGAGGGAAGGAGGGAAGGAGAGAGAAAGTGGGAGAGAGAGAAAGAGAGAGAGACAGAGAGAGACAGAAATCATTCCTACTTCAAATAACTTCAGTCTCATGATAATATATTCACAAGGAAAAAGGAAAAACCTATTGAAATATGCAATTGTTGTTTTCATCTATGATATTGCAAAGAACTAGCACTTTTGCAAAGGAGATTATCTCCCATGTAATTATTATCTTGGGAATGGTATCTTCTACTCCATTTCCCAAAGGACAACCAATATGCTTTGATACACGAGAGAAGCTATTATCAAAATATACTATTAAAATATGTCTTGCCTTTCAAGAAAGGAATCCAACACAGTCTGCTTGGTGATCTTTCCCTGAACGTACCTAGTGGAAAGTGTGTGAGGACACTAAATCATCCAGAAATCCTAATAGGCGCTGATGTCCACAAAAAAATGTTTCTACCTAATGCTACCCTTTCTGTTTCTGATATTACTGCTACTGCCTCAGACCATGTCTGATGTGCCAGTTGCTACTTGCAATTTCTATTACCCTCTGCCAATAAGTCACCGGTATTATCAGCCAGGAGACCTCAGCATTGCTGGTATTATTTCTCAAGTCTATACATTTTCTGACCTTGTGACTTTCAATCAGCATCCAGCTCACAACCTCCTAGATGAGATTGCGTAAGTCAAGATTTTGCTTAATTGTTGCATTTTCCATAAAGGGGTTTCTTGCCACAAATTGTATTGTTATTTTAAGCAGACAATTCCACCAAGGAAGGAAAAATGGGAGAGAATCATGTGCTAGCATAAGTGCTATTTTATATTAGCCTTAGTTTAGCTGTTATTCCATGAGTATAGATGAACATTCCTGTTGAGGTATTCAGCCATCCAACTACTCTTTCTTTCTTTCTTTCTTTCTTTCTTTCTTTCTTTCTTTCTTTCTTTCTTTCTTTCTTTCTTTCTTTCTTTCTTTCCTTCCTTCCTTCCTTCCTTCCTTCCTTCCTTCCTTCCTTCTCTCTCTCTCTCTCTCTCTCTCTCTCTCTCTCTCTCTCTCTCTCTCTCTCTCTCTCTCTTTGGCCAAGTATGATTTGACACGCAAGGAATTTGTCTCCGGTGCATAAGGTCTCAGTGTACATGTAAACAATAAAGTAATATAGTCATAAGATATATATAGGAGAACGTAGTTGGAAAGATATAATATATTCCACATAATATTTAGAATCTTAGAATAGAGCTGGAAGGGACCTTGGTGGTCTTCTAGTCCATCCTCATGCTAAAGCAGGAGATCCTATACCATTTCGGACAAGTGACTGTCCAGTCTCTTCTTAAAAACCTCCAGTGATGAAGCACCCACAACTTTTGGAGACAAGCTGTTCCACTGGTTAATTGTCCTCACTATTACTATTAGGAAGTTTCTCCTTTAATCCCAGGTTGCTTCTCTCTTTGATTAATTTCCTGCCCTCTGGTGCTTTCATAATACCAAGTGCAAGCTATTGGCTATTTGAGTAATTTCTTAAAAAGAAATCAGATGGTACTGATTATTTGTCCACCAATTACCAGCTGCATACCTCAGATGGAAATCCACCATCAGTTTTGGTAACCTGTCCTGTGAATATAAGATAGTTTCATAAGGAATTCTGAAAATACATAGACACTTGAGTGGCTTACTCCCCCCCCCCCACACACACACATAAGATGCATGGGTAAATGCAAATAAATAAAAAAACAATAGAAAGCTGAGTTTTGAATAGTCCAAATGGGAATAAGTCTTCTCATGGCTTCTAGATAAAGTGATATTTTAAGGCATCTCTGATTGTAATGCCTACATGTTTGGAAGAAAATTTAGCAAGTTTCTGACATCATTCAGCATTTAAATCACACCGCAGATTTGTGATTCAGATTTACCAACACACCCTGGCCTTTGCGTTTGCCATAATGGAGATTAATGGAAATCCTCAAATATTACCCAATATCTCCCTGGGCTTCCACATCTATAACAGCCATTTTGTTGCAAGTTGGACTTATCTCGCCTCACTGGAGCTTCTCTCCACATGGAGCAACTTCACCCCGAACTACAAGTGTGATAGTAAAGATAATATCATTGCAGTCATTGGGGGACCAGATTCAGATGTTAGTTTCTTTATGGCAACTATTCTGAGCAATTACAAGATACCGCAGGTAAGAAGTGCACAATGTGCTTAATGCCTGAAGAAACCTAAAGTGTGTCCCTTCATACTTGATGCAATTTGTATGTGTAATACAACATGTATAAACATAGATCAGTGGATAATTTGTAACAGAATGTATAAAAGTACTGGAATAGCACCTTAAAAAGTGATACCCTAGGAATCACATTAGTAGATTTCCATAATTTTGAAAGATGAGTTAAACATGAGGAAATAGAAGCTGGAGTGAATGTCCAGATCCTCTATTGGTAACAAAATTAAATTAATGCCAGCCACTGCCTGCTGCCCTGAAGCAGGATGGCATTTAAAAAAATATAATTCTTCACATTGCAGAAGATTTTAATATTCATTGGAATGTTTTCTTGGCTGATACATTTTCTATTGATTGGGTTGTGAGGTGCAAATTTTGATAGTAGAAAGATACAGAATGTCCCTGCTGATAAACCTATGAAACCTGAATGAGAATAGACAGAAATGTATGCACGCATGAACACATGCACGAACACACACACACACACACACACACACACAGCCACACCACATAACATTAATACCCATAGTTTACTGACATTATGATTTCTTCCTTTAGCTGTTTGGAATGGTATTTTAAAAAAATACAGACAATGTTGTGCAAAGATAATTGGGAGATTGTATGGAAGATACAATATTTCAGAACAGGAATGTCTGAGAGTTGTGTGTTCATGTGTGTATCAAAATAAGCAAAATAGGAGGGGGGCAAGTCAATCTCCACCCTAACAGGACTTGGTTCCTCCTCCTACTACTCCTCCTCCTCCTCCTCCTCCTTCTTCTTCTAGGTGAATATTCTCCCTTTGGACAATAAAAGTTTACGTACATTCATCCTATCTACTTAGTCTTTCTTTTCTTTTTAGCTTGGATATGGTTCTTCTCCTGTGATTAATAAACCATCTCAACAAGTCTTCTTCCAATGGATGTTCCCTAATATAAAGCAACAATATGTGGGGATGCTGCAGCTGCTTTTGCTTTTCACATGGACCTGGATTGGTATTATTTTTATAGAGGATGACAATGGCCTCAGATTTGTACAAAAGGAGCTTCCAAAGTTTTCCCAAGGAGGTATTTGCTTTGATTTTATAGAACCATTGCCACCTCTATATTTTAAAACTGGCATTCATGAAATGGTAGAGTCATGGGTCAAACTGTACCTCTTGATAAGTGATAGCACTGTCAATGTTGTGGTCTTACATGGGGAAATTCATACTATGATCGTTTTGAGAATGTTTCCCAGAATTCCAGTATTTGAAGACATTCCTAGCAAGACAAATGGTAAACTATGGATAATGACAGCCCAGATGGAGTTCACATCTATTCCTTTGCAACGATATTGGGACATAGATATACTTCATGGTTCCTTAGCCTTTGCAACTCAGTCAAAAGAGCTGGTAGGTTTCCACAATTATCTTCAGATGAGAAACCCTTATGTGGAAACCAGAGACGGTTTTATTAAGGACTTTTGGAAACAGGCATTTGATTGTTCCTTCTCAACTTCATTCAAAGAGGACAATGTTTGGAATCACTGTACGGGGAAAGAGAAGCTAGAGGCTCTTCCCAAGTCTGTTTTTGACATGACCATATCCTCCCAAAGCTATGGTGTCTACAATGCAGCTTATGCTGTGGCCTATGCACTGAAATCCATGAGGTCATCAATATTGAAACACAGAATTATGTCAGAGGAGGGACAAAAGAAGCTCTTGAATCAACAATTGTGGCAGGTAATATCCTGAATACATAAACACAAGATTATGTTCCTCAGCCTCCAACATATGATCAGATATTCTTTAAAAGTTTACTGTCTCTGTAAAAATGTCCAAAAGCATAGCTTTTCCCATTAAACCAAATTATAGCAATAACTGGGGAAATGAACTTACTTTAATGGGTAGCCTAACTGTATGTATTATGGTTGAATCTGAATAAGAGACAGGAAAGCACTGGCTCTCTTATCATCTCTCATTGGCTCTCTTATCATCTCCAGTGCCATTATTTTTGTTTTTCTGCACTTAATTCAAAGTTTTCAATTCAAGCTAGTTACTATAATAGATAACTATCTTGATTACTAAGACTGATTCATTTCTTTTGCTAATTCTTTTTTCTGTTACGTTTCTGTTGATATAATGTGCAATGTTATAATTAATGATGTTCTTGGTTTGACTATATTGTGCTTATATTTTTTATATTATAGGTAATTTTTATCATTAATACCCCATCAGATGAATTGTGATGTTGAATTGCAATTATTGATAATTTGCCTAGATACAGCTAATTCTCAAATACACTCACCTTAAAAGATATTAAAGTATTTGTATAATTTTTGTATAGCTTTATCACTTATTACTTTTTGTTCCACTGTCAATTTAGTTCCACCACTATCTACAAAAAGTGTCATTTAACAACAGTGTTGGGGAAATTATTTCCTTTGATCAGAACGGGAACCTAGAAGCAGGATTTGATATTATCAACTGGATCACATCCCCAAATCTAAGTCTACATCGAGTCAAAGTGGGAAAATTTGATCTCAGAGCCCCCAGAGACCAAGTGTTCAGTGTTTCTGCGGCTGCCATTCGGTGGCCAAAGACATTTAACCAGGTATTTTCCATATTTTTTTATTAAATTGTTTTTCCTGCCTTTATTTTAACTCAAGATGACAAAATACATAATAGTGGTGAATATCTATATCGGGTGTAGAATGAGGGTGAAGGTTCATTCTCCCAGCTTGTAGGTTGGTTTCCAAACATTTGTTACCAGACTAGGTAACATCTTCAGCAGAGTTTAGGGGATGTCAGTGTTATAAACCGAATACTGACACTGACATCCCCTAAACTCCGTTGAAGATATTACCTAACCTGGTAACAAAACTTTCAAAACCAACCCACAAGCTCAGAGAATGAAGCTTCACCCTCATAATACTCCTTCCTCCTCCTATTTTTCCCACAACAACCCTGTGAGGTGGGTTGGGCTAAAAAACAGTGATGGCCCAAGGTCATGCATCAGCTTTTATGCCTATGGCAGAACTAGAATTCACATTCTCCTATTTTCTAGGACAGCATTTTAACCAATGCACCAGGTTAATTTTCTATATAGTTAGGGTCCATATATTCTATGTTCAGGATGCAGATCATGAAAATAGTTGTATGGCCAGCAGTTAAATTTATTTTCAAGCTTTTTGCAATGATCCAGATCTTTTCTGGCCAAAATCCATAGCCAGCTGATTTTAATACAATTATTATATACAATGTACATTGCATAATTTTTGTTCTTTTTTTAAAGGTAAATATAACAAGAATTTGAGGGGAATATGTAATGGTTTAATATTGCAGATGACCCAAATTAATGGGCTATAATAATATACAATTCTACTGCAAAGCCATTGCCTCAAACCTTGCAGAGGTGCAAATATTTGAATTAGATTATTATGAATATGATTATGATTTAGTTACTCACAGGATCATAATAATAGCTTTTGGTTGGGATAGAAAATAAATGTATTGATTTAGAGACTCTTGCTCTGTGTACATTCCTTTCTCAAACTACTGTACAGTATTATTCTGATTATCAAATTAGAACCACTGTTATGTGGCTATCCCAGTACCAACCCCAAAATTTAGGATTCTGTTTTCTTGTCTTCTCTTTGTGCCTAGACGCAGCCTCTGTCTTTGTGCAATGAACCCTGCCATAAAGGTCACAGCAAGACCAAGAAGGAAGGGAAGCCATTTTGTTGTTACAATTGCCTTCCATGTCCAAGACGAAAAGTTTCAAACCAGATGGGTAAGGATATCATGGACTGAGTTTGAATTTGGAAGTAAGTGGTGGAATTTGTAAAGCATCACATAAAGATCAGGCCAAATAGAAGCTGGTCTTCTCCTGTGTGTGAATGCCAAAGGCATTTCCAGGATCCAGTGCATTGGGCTAGCTAAAGATGTAGAATTTCCATCACAAGACTTACACTATGGCTTTCGTAATTATTTCCTCTCTGTGGATCCCTTTTTGAACAGGCGTTTGATCCAATTGCTTATTCAGATATAGAAGACAGAACTGAAAACAGGGATCCATGTTTCCAGTAATATGGGAAATAGATTAACTTTTTATTTACTTTTTGTATAATGGCATAAAATACACCCACAAGTATCCACTTTATAATGAATGTAAAGGAAGGATTTTGAAAGTATCAAAGTTTGATTTTATATTTGTCTGTTTTTTATTTATTTCCTCTTTTTTATTCTGCCTTTATTACTTTATAAGTAACTCAAACTGGTGAACATGCATAATACTCCTTCCTCTTCCTATTTTTCCCACAACAAGATTATTGTGAGGTTGGTTGGGATGAGAGAAAGTAACTGGCTCAAAGTCACCCAGCCAGATCTCAACTGTAAAATGGGACTAGAATGAAATCTGTATTTACAAATCCCTCCTGCTCACCATGCTACTTCTTATACATGGGGCGGGACTGTTATTGTTATTTTTTCTCAAATTAAACAAATAGAAAGGATTATCTGAAGCAAAACACATATCAAAGATATCTTTAAAAAATAGTAAATAAATAAGTGGAATTATGTTTTAAGTCTTCAGTTTCTATCTAGGATCATACTTTTAAGGAAATGGATTCACATCTCTAAGGAATAAATGTGGAACTTTTTCCAAATGTTTCAAATTACCTAAGTAGTGAAAGCTGAAAAAGACAAACCCTACCCATCTTCTGCATGATGGACTAACAGTGAGACTCAGGTTATGGAAATTCTGTATGAAATTGATACAATTTTATTTGCATCATTTTATGTACTGAGCCATTCTTTGAAACTTGACCAGACATGCCAAATTCTTAATAATGAAATTTGTCTATTTTTTTCCTTTTCAGATATGGATTTTTGTTACCAGTGTCCAGAGGATCACTATCCCAGCAAAGCCCAGGATCAGTGTATTCCAAAAGAGATCAGCTTCCTATCTTTCCATGAACCTTTGGGGATTACCTTGGCCATTTTTGCTCTTTTATTTTCCTCCATCACAGCCTTGGTCCTCAAGGTCTTCATTCAGCACAAGAACACTCCCATAGTCAAGGCCAACAATCGGGGCCTCAGCTACACCCTCCTGGTCTCCCTTCTGCTTTCCTTTCTCTGCCCTTTGCTATTCATTGGTCGCCCTCAGAGGGCAACCTGTCTCCTTCGCCAAACTGCTTTTGGTATCATTTTCTCTGTGGCGATTTCTTGTGTGGTGACCAAAACCCTCACTGTGGTCCTAGCTTTCATGGCCACCAGGCCAAACTCCCAGATGAGGTCATGGGTAGGGAAAAGATTGGCCCTTTTTATAGTACCTTCCTCCTCCCTCATTCAAACCATTCTTTGTATTGTGTGGCTGGTGAGCTCTGCTCCCTTCCCAAATCTTAATATGCACTCTCTGCCTACAGAAATGGTCCTGGAGTGCAATGAAGGCTCCCCTGTCATGTTTTATTGTGTCCTGGGTTTCATTGGTCTCTTGGCTATGATCAGCTTTTTAGTGGCTTTTCTTGGAAGGAACCTTCCAGACAGTTTCAATGAAGCTAAATTTATCACCCTCAGCATGCTTCTTTTTTGCAGTGTCTGGGTCTCTTTTGTTCCAGCCTACCAGAGCACCAAAGGGAAATACACGGTGGCTGTGGAGATCTTCTCCATCTTAGCCTCAGGTGTTGGATTACTGACCCTCATTTTCTCTCCCAAAGTTTACCTCATCTTGATAAGACCTGAACTGAATAACAGACAACAACTTATGAGAAAACCCCATAAAGTGAGTTATAGGAATCAGTCACATTACAGCATACACAACAGAATTTAGATTAGTGAAAAATCCAGTATGTGGTTTCAAGGAATAACAACTGTCTTAAACTTTTAGTAAAATAGAATGATTGAGTATAAATGTAATAGTAAAATAAAATGGGTGTTCATCTTTGTTCAATATGTCCTTAAACAATATTAATTCTATGGATGCCCAGGTAGCCCCTCATGGTGACATTTGTTTTATTTTTTTATTATTTTAAAATTTGATTAAAGTTTATTAAAGCATAAAATAGAATGAAAATAAAATTTAAACCAAGAAAAATGTGGAGTGCACAATGAAAAAGAAAGAAAACAGTAAAAAGTGTTGATTTACAACTCTTCCCAATGCAATAAAATACTAATTCAATTATGACTTCATGTTTTTACATTACCTATAATTATTACAAGCCAGTTCTATAACTACACAATTATTAAATCTTCAAACTAAATTCCAAACTTCCTTTTTTTATTTCAAGCCTGAACACCAGAAGCAATATCTCAACAGAAATAAGACCAGATAAAATCTCTTTGTTTAAAAAAGTTTACCTTACCATCTTAAAAACTCTTCCATTTCTCTCCCCCCCCATGGTAGGAAGTGAGATATATTTCTATTTACACTTATTAATCTTTGCAAACTATCATTATTTTATGTTAATAAAAATCACTGTATTATTTCAAATTCCTTAACTCTAAAGAGAAAATCCTTTATATTGCTTGTAAGTCTATAAAAATTTCTTTAAAAATTTCATTTTTATAATTAAAATCAGTTAATTCTGATGCATCTTTTTAATTTTAATTAAAGATTTAATTATCCTTCTGAGATTTAATTTAATTATCCTTTTAATAGACTTACATTCAAATTTGCTTCCAGTGGTATTTTTCAAACTTGAGAAATTACAAAAAGAAAAAAACCTAACCCACTTTATATGCACAAAACAATGCATTAGAATGCTATTTTAATTACATATCTCTCCTTTAGGACCACTGCTATAGATTGATTCAAAGTCCATCTTATTTTTTTCTGCATTTCTTTCCACACCATTTTAAGGGTTATGATCTGCCCAAGTACCCAATTCTATTTCAATTTCCTGCATATTAATCCTTAATTCAGGCATCATCCAAATCATATCAGTTCTGCCCAGCAGGGCAGCCCAGAGCAACCCGGCCAGGAGGGCAAAGAGCCCCACGAGGCAGAAGCAGCACAGGGAGCCATTTGGCTGCCACAAGGCACCCGACGTGGCTGAGAAATGTCCCAACAACAATAGGGCCAGCAGGCAGGGTGGGCAGAGGCTGGGGCCAGCTGAGGGTTTCGTTAGTTGCAGCTGCAGGCAAGCAGACAGTGGGAGAGAGAAGGCGGGGCTAGCAGTAGCTGGTTTCAGTGGCAGCTGCTGGAGAAGGGCCCTGGCAGGCCACCGGTGGGGGTGCACTATGGTTGTCGCACATAAGATTTGGGATGACTCGCCCCACCCCGAGCTAGGACTTACTTTTGGGGTAGGGCTTATATTAGGCCCACCCCCTGAAAATCAGCTGGGGCTTACTTTTGGAGTAGGGTTTACTTTTGGGGAAACACGGTAGGTTAGGGGAACAGCTGGAGAAGATTGAGAAACCAGCTATTCAAAGAGAGGCTGAAATTTTGGAGAGGAAAGTGGAGAGAAAAGAAGCAACTTTGAAAGACTAGATTGAATTTGGAAGATTTTTCTCCCTATTCTGCTATATGTCCTGCTGGCTAGTTTACCTTTAATATTGGTTCAAGGAAGGTAGATCAACCTTTTTGCAAATTTAAATCACAATCCTGCCTGTTATGTAAAAAAATACCCCATGGGTACCCAAAGAGCTATATCCATATTTGGGTGAAGTCCCAAGTTATTGCACGGATTACAGTTTTAAAAAGGGGAAACATTAGTAACATTTGAAGACAAAAGGTTTTGTTTGATTTTCACATCAGTGTAGGTTTGGTACTTAGTTCAGACCATTTTTCCTGGTCCCTAAATTCAAACTTCTCTGGAAGAGTTGAAAGAATTTCAAAAAAAAGGAAATCCAGTGGTAAGAGGGAACAAAAAAAAAGTGTTGAGAAGGGCTATGCCTTCTTTTATGTCAGTGGTTCTCAACCTGTGGGTCGGGACCCCATTTGGGGTCAAATGACCATTTCACGGGGGTCGCCAAACAATGCAGTCCGCCATTTTTTCCCCTTTTCCTTAGCTGTGCTACTCCCTTTTATTCTATTGGCTTTTGAAAGCCAATAGAATAGACTCTCTTGAATAGAGTCTAATTCTATTGGCTTTCAAAAGCCAATAGGAATTGTCCAGGCTGTCTCTGCCCTGCTGAGCCCGCCAAAAGTCCCATTCTGCAAACAGTGCTGCCCCAGTTGAGTAGTCCTCGACTTACGACCGATTGAGTAGTCCTCGACTTACGACTGGTTGGGGGTTGCGGGATTAAAAAGGTTGAGAACCACTGTTTTATGTGTTTGTGTAAATGGCAAGTACAAAAATGGTTGAGGAGCCACCTTGATTTTTTGGGATCACCGTGGATCTTGGAAACAGTGGGAAGGAGAATGAAAGTGAGGGTGAGAAATAATTTCTCTCTTGATAACTTATTCGTGAGAAAGAGGAATAGCTAGCTGAAATATGCAATTAAGTTGTTTTCTTCTACAAGGGCAATCATCTCTTTTGTATCAACATGACAAGGGGAACTTCTATTACACTTCCCAAAAGACAACCAATACACCTTGGCAGAAAGGAACCAAGATCAAAATATGCTACTAAATGATTTTTTTTTTTTTTGCAATTCAAGAAAGAGACCAAACACAGACTGGTTTCAACCTTCCTCTGATCATTCCTAGTGCAAAAAAGTATTAGAGGGCACTAAAGTCAGCCAGAACTCCTCAAGGATATTTTAGACAGAAACTGATGTCCAGAAGAAGTTGTTTCTACCTAATGGCGCTCTTTGTGTTCCTGATATTTCTGCTACTACCTGAGACTATGTTCAACATCCCAGTTGCTACATGTAATATCTGTTACCCTCTGCCAATACGCCATCAGTATTATCAGCCAGGGGATCTCATCATTGCTGGCATTATTTCTCAAGCCTACATATTTTCTGACCCTGTGACTTTCAATCAACACCCGTCTCATAATCTCCTGGATGAGATTGGGTAAAACAAGATTCTGGTTAATTGTACATTTTCCATAAGGTGCAATAAATTGTATTTTTATTTTAAGCAGGCAATTCCACAAGAGAGGAAGATTGTGAACCTAAGCTAACATAAGTGCTAGGGACTATTTACATTATTCATACTAGTAGTCTATTTAGCTGCTATTCCATGACTCTAGATGAACATTCCTCTTGTGGTATTCAGCTCCCATCCACTCTATATAATGTTTCACAATAGCAAGGGCCAAATATGTCCCACATCAAAATCTTCTGTCTACTAGATTCAACATGTTGGCTATCTAAGAGCTTTCTTAAAAGAAACATATAAGATACTGTAGTACTCATTATTTGTCCACTTAATATCAGCTACGTATATCAATTTTGGTAATTCTTCCTGTAAATATGAGCTAGTTCATAAACAGATAGATATTTTAAGATATCTCTCTGATTGTATGACCTTGGATATTTGCCATGGACAAAAATTTAGCAAGACTGCTATTGACAACTGCACTCATTCAGCATGTAAATCACACTGCAGATTTGTGACTCAGATTTATCAACATATCTTGGCCTTTGTATTTGCCGTAATGGAAATCAATGGAAATCCTCAGATATTACCCAATATTTCCCTGGGCTTCCACATCTATAACAGTCAATTTGGTGCCAGTTGGACTTACCTCACCTCACTGGAGCTTCTCTCCACATGCAGCAACTTCTTCCCTAACTACAAGTATGATAGTAAAGATAAGACTATCACAGTCATTGGGGGACCAAACTCAAATGTGAACTTCTTTATGGCAACCATTCTTAGCTTCTACAAGGTACCACAGGTAAGATGTGCTTGAAAAAAATAACATGTGTACAGTCTTGATGAATTTTGTTGTGTAAAGCAGCCTGGGTAAGCATTATAGATCAATGGATAATTTGAAACAGAATGTATAAAAAAATACTAGAATAGCACCTAAAAATTGATACCCTATGAATCAGATCAGGAGATCTCCATAAGAGCTCTATTTAATGTTACATGTATTAACAGAAGCAAGAATAGTATTCGCCCAATTTTGGAAAAATGAAAATCTACCATCTGACCAGGCTATAATTTTAAAAATCTTAGACTGTGCAGAAATGGACAGATAAACTTTGAAGATGAAGGAGAAAGAAGACTCAATTTATTTTAAAACCTGGGAAAAAATTTATTGATGGATGGAAACACGTTAGAATATGAATAGAACCTAAAATTGAATGGAATAAATGATGGACTTTTAACTAAGTTTTATTTTTTTTAGATTAATAACATCTTTATTACTTTGTTGTTGTTAATTGCGAAGTCATGTCCGACCCATCGCGACCCCATGGACAACGTTCCTCCAGGTCTTCCTGTCCTCTACCATCTTCTGGAGTCCATTTAAATTCACACCTACTCTTTATTACTAGTGACTTTAAATATTAATGGTGATGATTAGAAGTAGTTGATAAGTTATTAAGTATGGATATCTATTTAGAGGAATTTTACTTATTTATCAAATTTTAGTTATATGATTATAGTTAATTTTATCTTTACAATTGTTTAGTATTATATAAATTATGTTTATTCGATATTTAGATCCGGACGGTATCTTGTTTGTTAAAGCTTGGGATTATTATGGGGGGGTCACCCCATTATTATATCTACCCTTATCCTACCCCAAATTCCTATTCCCATTCCCCCTATACCCGTATTGACCCTATCTTTTCCTTACCTTACCCAGCTGCCAGCAGTTTGGCAGTTCAATTCTCATCGGTTGAAGGTTGACTCAGATTTCCATCCTTCCGGTTGCAGTGTCCTGGGGTCATGTAATTACCTTTTGGAACTTTCTGGCAAGCAAAGCTAATGGGGAAGCCAGATTCGCTTAACAATCATGATACTAATTTAACAAGTGCAGTGATTCACTTAAAAACTATGGCAAGGAAGGTTGTAAAATGGGACAAAACTCAATTAACAAATGTTTCACTTGGCAACAGAAATGTTGAGCTCATTTCTGGTTGTAAGTTGAGAACTACCTGTACTCATGATTTACTAGCATCATGAATTCTTCCTTTAGCTATTTGGAATAATATTTTAAAAGGGGGCAAAATCATAGAAACAATAATTGGGAGAGCGGATGGAAGATATTTCAGAGCAGCAGTGCTACCAGATGTATATGAGTGTTTTTTCTGTCTCTCTATCTGTGTGTGTGTGTGTGTGTGTGTGTGTTAAAGTAAGAACAATGGGTAGAATAATTCACAAATGTGGTTCCAAGCAACATTCTCCAAAGCTTATTAGTAATCTTGATTCATGTGGTCTATATATTTTACAAAATAATAATTACACATCACTCATTTGAAAACAGGGAAGTACTTGTATTTGTTTATTTCAAATAATATATTTAGAATTCATAAGATTCATCAGTGTTGTGGGAAGTCAGACCCCCAGAGAAGGAAATATTAAAAGGGCAGAAAAATATATTCCCTCAAAGGATCTTAAAGAGGCAGAAAAGCATGCCCAGTTTTCTTAATAGCCCCAAGTCTCCCTCCCCCAAGCAGAAACCAGCTCTGTAGAAATGCAGATGTAAATAATCCAGGAAGGTTGGAGGCCCCCAGCTCCCTACATGTGCTCTTTTCTCTTTTCTTCCAGAGCCATCTTTCTGTCTGGCTCTCCTTTCCAATAAATTGCAACCTTCTTTCTAAAGCAGTCGCCATGTTGTTTATTCCCAGCTTGGACTGAACCATGATGAAGACTTTTCCTTCAACAGTGTGTAAGAATTTATGAACTGGAATAGCCATAGCAACAAACCAGCAAATGAGAACTGTTTTTCATTAAGACACAGTATTGGCTGTGTGAGGCATTTGATCCAGCGTAGGTCTGGGCATGTCTTAGTCTTCCCTGTGTCCTGATCTCCTGAGTTAGTTGTTTTTGTTCTCTACCGCATTGCCAAGAACTGAATGAAATTGTATGTATCATGTTTATATATTTTTTATAGATAAAGTTTTTCTAAACTATGCCTCCTGCTCATTTTGAATGTGTGCTTATTTTTGCACTGGAAAGCTGTAAACTCTAACAAGATTGCCATCTGCATTTACATTCCTTCTTCAGTAAAACCATGTCTCTTCTCATTCCTTGGGAAATTGTTTTGAAAAACATTAAACTTCGTGATAAAATATGAATGATTATTCTAGAGTGGGTGGAACAAGGATGAAAAGTGATTGGGACAAAGTCCCATTAGGGTGAGCTTGATTTAATTTCCAAGGTGTGGGGGAGGCAGGGAGTTGGGAAACATTTGAGTTTCTTTTAAATTTTGTGAAAGAAGCCATGCTTTTTGCATGTTTCCCAATTCATCGTAACTACTTAATTTTTCTTTTCTTTCTAGTTTGGATATGGTTCTTCTCCTTTGATTAATGACCCAGCCCAGCAAGCTTTCTTTCAATGGATGTTTCCTAGTAGAAACCAACAGTATGTTGGGATACTTCAGCTGCTTTTGCTTTTCAGATGGACCTGGATTGGTCTCATTTTTATGGAAGATGACAATAGCCTCTGGTTTGTACAGAATGAACTTCCCAAGTTTTCCCAGGGAGGTATCTGCTTTGATTTTATTGAACGGTTTCCACCATTATATTTGAAAACTGGCATCCATGAAATGGTAGAATCATGGGTGCTTGTATACCGATTGATAATTAATAGCATGGCCAGTGTTGTGTTCATACATGGCGAATTTCACATCGTAATCTTTCTGAGAATGTTTCCCAGAATTTCAGAAATTGAAAACATATCAATGAAGAGAGGCAAAGTCTGGATGATGACTGCACAGATGGAGTTCACTTCTGTTTCCTTTCAACGATCTTGGGATCTAGATATCCTTCACGGAACTCTAGCCTTTGCAACTCAGTCAAATGAGCTGGTAGATTTCCAAAATTTTCTTTGGATGAGAAACCCTAATGTTGACACCACAGATGGTTTTATTAAAGACTTTTGGAAACAGGCATTTGATTGTTCCTTGCCAACTTCCTTGGAAGAGAAGAATGCTTGGAATCGCTGCAGTGGGGAGGAAAAGCTAGAGGGTCTTCCTAGATCTGTCTTTGACATGAGCATAACTCCCCATAGCTACAGTGTCTACAATCCAGTTTATGCTGTGGCCTATGCTTTGCAGTCCATGACTTCATTAAAGTTCAAACACAGACCTATGTCAGAGGAAAGACAAAAGAATCCAATGCTGTGGCAGGTAATGTCATGAGTACATAAACACAAGAAACATTGCCCTATCTTCAACCTATCAAAGCTGATTCTCAATTAAGATTAGGTTTTCTAGACAGTTTCCTGCATTACTAATTTGCCCTTCCTAGTTTCAAAAACAAAAAACATTTTGGTAGATTTAAGGAGTTTGACTTTGTTGTGAACAACTGAAATCCAGTGGCAACCTTCAGCATTTTATAAGAGAGTATTGGAGGAAATAATGCTTTAAAGATTGATAATGGATAATGATAATGGATGTCCTTTTATACTTTTGCTCTGCCTATTCTCTAATTAATAAGACTGTTCATCTCAGATTATTCCCTTTTACCTTTTCAGGCATGTAGAGGAGCATATACCCGTAGATTCTCAATTCTTAAGATACAGTTAGACAATGATAAGATGTCTTTACTCCTATTGTATATTTCCACTAATAAATATCCTTTCTGTTGTGCAGATGCTCTTTGACTCTGCTGCTGGTAGGATATAGCTGGTTAAAGTCCTAGAATATTATTACCATGTATTAAATTATACTGTACTCATCATTGATCAGGAAAGATTCTTGCTTTCGGAAATGTTCTTCAGCTTCCAAACTTGGCTACGTATTAATTTTAATTAATTGTCTATGTAACCAGGTTCAGAGGCATTGTTTTTTCCTGTTAAAACACAATTATAGGAAAGGCTATAGAAAATTAATTAAAAGGCCAACACAGTGCTGGGCTGCATTAATAGAGGGATAGAATCAAGATCACATGAAGTATTAATACCACTTTACAATGCCTTGGTAAGGCCACATTTGGAATACTGCATCCAGTTTTGGTCACCACAATGTAAAAAAGATGTTGAGACTCTAGAAAGAGTACAGAGAAGAGCAACAAAGATGATTAGGGGACTGGAGGCTAAAGCATATAAGGAAAGGTTGATGGAATTGGGTATGTCTAGTTTAATGAAGAGAAGGACCAGGGTTGACATGATAGCAGTGTTCCAATATCTCAGGGGCTGCCACAAAGAAGAGGGAGTCAAGCTATTCTCCAAAGCACCTGAAGGCAGGACAAGAAGCAACGGATGGAAAATAATCAAGGAGAGAAGCAACCTAGAACTAAGGAGAAACTTCCTGACAGTTAGAACAATTAACCATTGGAACAACCTGCCTCCAGAAGTTGTGAATGCTCCAACACTGGAAGTTTTTAAGAAGAGACTGGACAGCCATTTGTCTGAAATGGTATAGGGTTTCCTGCCTGAGCAGGGGGTTAGACTAGATAACCTCCAAGGTCCCTTCCAACTTTATTCTTATTTTTATTTTTAATTATTGTTGTTGTTGTTGTTGTTGTTGTTGTTGTTGTTATTATTATTATTATTATTATTATTATTATTATTATTATTATTATTGGAAGATTGACTGGGTTATGGGGACTCCCAACTAAGAGAAAAGAAAGCAGAAGTCCTCCTATCATCTGGAATTTCTGTAGCAGAATACTGGTTTTCTTCATTATTCATTTCTTTCCTCTCAAGCTGGTCGCTATGGTAGATAATTGTCTTGGTGCCTGAGATTGCTTGATTTCTTTTACTACTTCTTCCTTTTATTTTTATCTTCAATGGTAGACTGCATAGTTACAGCTGAGGATGTTCATGATTTAACTCTATTCTGCTTATATTTTCTATCATATCATAAGTACACATTAGAATTTATTTCCCTGAAAATAAGACCCACCCAGAAAATAAGCCCTAGCATGATTTTTTAGCATTTTTTTCACTCCCGCTGGCTCAGAAATAGAAGATGGGGACCAGGTAAGGTGACTGAGCCCCCCCCCCCGCCCATCCTCCATAGCATGACAGTCCGCTATGGAGGGGAGTGAAAGGGAAGAGGCAGACAGGCAACTAGGTCATTGAATGGGTGAGGGGAAGTCGCTGAGTGGGGAGTGGCCTGACTGCAGGGGCCCTGAGGTAAGTGGGTATAGAGCGCATGGGGCAGCTCCACCCCCTGCCTTGCCTCACCTCAGGTGCTCTCCTGCCCCGGCGACGTGTGCTCACCTGCCCCGTTGCGTCTGTCAGTGTGTAAGATTTATGAACTGGAATAGCCATAGCAACAAACCAGCCAATAGGAATTGTTTTTTAACTGAGACACAGGATTTGCTGAGAGAGGCATGTGAGCAAGCCTAGGTCTAGGTGTGGTTTAGTCTCTCTCTGTATGTGTTCCGATCTCCATGATTAGTTGTTGTTTTTCTACCATGTTGCCAAGAACTACATGGAAACTGTATGTATGTATCATATTTAAATATTGTGAAGATAAAAAAGTTTTTCTATACTATGCATCCTGCTCAATTTTTGTACGTGTGCTTAATTTTTGGGCTTATATTGAGCTGTAAACTCTAACATGGCCACAAGCAACCAGACAGTGGGATGGAGTGGGCGGATGGCCATAAAATAAGATCCCCCCAAAATAAGTCCTAATGGGTCTTTTGATCCCCAAAAATATATATAAGACCCAGTCTTATTCTGGGGAAAACATGGTACTGCCAGACCAGGCCAATTGTGCTTTTGATTGTGATTATTAATAGTTTGTATAGATGTTGCTAATTTTGGCTTCTCAAATATTCATACCTTGTAACATATTACAGTATTTGAACGATTTTGGTTAACTATATCGCTTATATTTTTTTCTTCCACTATGAAATTAGTTCCACCATTATCTAAGAAAAGTCTCATTTAACAACAGTGTTGGGGAAATGATTTCCTTCGATCAGAACAGGAACTTGGAAGCAGGATTTGATATTATCAACTGGGTCACATTCCCAAATCTAAGCCTACATCGAGTCAAAGTGGGAAAATTTGATTTCGGTGCTTCCAAAGAACAAGTGTTCAGGGTTTATGTCGATACCATTAGGTGGCCAAGGAAATTTAACCAGGTATTTTCTATATAAAGTTGGGGTCCATCTCTTTGGTCCAAGATGCAAGTAATGAAAATAGCTGGTCATATTAAGGCAAGTAATTGAACTCACTTCCAAGTTCTTATGTCCTAGATCGTATTCAGACATAGCAAGGTGATCTGAGTACATTTTTTTATTTAGTTATTTGCAAGAATGGCTCTTGGGTGGGATGGAAAGAATAAATGTATTGATTTGGTGACACTCTGTGTACATGTATTTGTCAAACTACTATATGATTCCAATTATCTAATTAGAATCAATATTATGTTGCTATCCCAATGCCAACTCAATATTTAGGCATTCTGTCTTGTCTGCTTCTCTTTGTGCCAGGCTCAGCCTCTGTCTCTGTGCAATGAACCCTGCTATAAAGGTCACGGCAAGACCAAGAAGGAAGGGAAGCCATTTTGTTGTTATGATTGCCTTCCATGCCCAAGAGGAAAAGTTTCAAACCAGATGGGTAAGGATATCAGGGACTGAGTTTGAATTTGTTGAAAGTAGATGGAGGCATTTACAAATCATCACATAAAAGTCAGTTTAAATAAAAATTGGTCCTTATATATTTTTTTTCAGACATGGATTCTTGTTACCAGTGTCCAGAGGATCACTATCCCAGCAAAGCTCAGGATCAGTGCATTCCAAAAGAGATCAGCTTCCTAGGTTTCCAAGAGTTTTTGGGGTTCACTTTGGTCATTTTTGCTCTTTTATTTTCCTCTATCACGGCTCTGGTCTTGATGATCTTCGTTCAGCACAAGGACACACCCATAGTCAAGGCCAACAATCGAAGCCTCAGTTACATCCTCCTGATCTCTCTTCTGCTTTCCTTTCTCTCTACTTTGCTCTTCATTGGTCAGCCTCAGATGGCAACTTGTCTCCTTCGCCAAACTGCTTTTGGCATCATCTTTTCTGTGGCAGTTTCTTGCGTGGTGGCTAAAACGCTCACTGTGGTCTTAGCTTTTATGGCCACCAGGCCAGGCTCTCAGATGAGGTCATGGGTGGGAAAAAGACTGGCACTTTTTATAGTGCTTTCCTGCTCTTTCATTCAAACCACTCTCTGTAGTGTATGGCTGGTGATCTCTGCTCCCTTCCCAGATCTTGACATGCACTCTCTGCCTACAGAAATGGTCCTAGAGTGTAATGAAGGCTCTGCTGCCATGTTTTATTGCATCCTGGGTTTTATTGGCCTTTTGGCCATGATCAGCTTTACAGTGGCTTTTCTTGGAAGGAATCTTCCAGACAGTTTTAATGAAGCTAAATTTATCATTCTCAGCATGCTTCTTTTTTGCAGTGTCTGGATCTCTTTTGTTCCAGCCTACCAGAGCACCAAAGGGAAATATATGGTAGCTGTGGAGATCTTCTCTATCTTAGCCTCTAGTGCTGGATTATTGGTCCTCATTTTCTCCCCCAAAGTTTACATCATCTTGATAAGACCTGAGCTGAATAATAGGCAACAGATTATGCAAAAAATCCTCATAAAGTAAGTTATAGCGATCAGTTTTCTATACACAATGGGATTTAGATTTGTGACAAAACTCTGCAGTTACCACCAGTGACAAGTGATTTAAGTGCTCATTAAAACAAAAGACTGGGTATTGGTGTAATCATAAAATATATAATGTTCTCTTTCTCCCCAATCAATCATGCCTATGCTATAGTACTCATCAGTTATTGTAAGATATGAACTATCCTGTTCCCTGAAGCTGTAAGATTTCATGAGTCACAATACGTTACAGTTGCAGTTCTTGAACAAAACAACTTCCAAACAAAATTTTGAAGATTGCAAACAGGAATAATTATTAAACTATATATGTTTGTAGTCAACCAAGTGTAAAGGCTCCATTTGAAATGATTAATCTCTTTAGTGAAGAGTGCAGAAATCCAAGATCACCAAAGTATATAAGAAATTCAAGCCTGCTCAAATTGTAAAGTTGTCTAATAGCTGATAGTTGAGAAACTCTCTTCTGGCTGCAGAAATCTAGACCTTGATGACCTAGGCCTTCTAGTTGCCTTTCCCTGCAGACTTTGGGACTTTTTAAATTAGGATATGAAGGAGAGAGGGATTGCAACCAAAACTGCATGGAGGAAAATTGAGGAACTGAATAAGTTGGTATATATTGATGGGGTGTTACTAAATGAAATAAATGATTTGGGTGCTAGGCACCTGAATTTCTAGCAACTTCAGAAAACAATGGAGGACAGGGCGGCCTGGTGTGCTATGGTCCATGGGGTGGCAAAGACTCAGACATGACTTAGTGACTGAACAACAAAGTTCTAAATATGTTCTCAGCCACCCCTGTGTGATTACTAGCTAATTTGCAGAATAGGCAGATAAGGGTGTACTCTTATCTGCAGATTGCAGATTGATGTGAGATTGAAGATATGAAATAAACCACCCAATCAGGGCCATCAAACTGCAGATTTCATCTGCAATCTGCACATCAATCTGCAATCTGCTGATAAAAGTAGTCCCTTTCCTGGTTCCTATCTTCAATCTCCTCAGGAAGAAAGTAGAGAGAATTATCGGAATATCATTCCTTACCAAGTTGGTTTCTGAACTGGGATCCTGGAATCAGCAAACACTTGCATGAAATTAAGTTCTTTATTCTTTCCCCAAGAGCAATAACAACAAGCTGTTAGGTGGGTGACTGTGTAGGAATTCCCGCTCCCTCTTACAGCATATTATGTATGTGTGTATGGATGGATAGATGCATGTACACACACACACACACACACATACACACCCCTTGAAATATAAACCTTTCATTTCCATAGCAACAGCTAGTTATCTACCAAAGCATATAGGAAGGACCTCAGAATTTTTTTAAAAAATGAGGCCAAAAAATGAGACCTGGTTTAAGCACTGCAATGTATTCTCAATGTTCTAATGCTGTGTGTGTGTATGTGTGTATGTTTCTGTATATATATATATAAAATATTTTATCTTTTTACACCCAGAAGCCTAAAGGGATGAACAAAAACTCAAGGTGGAGGCTAGGCTTCCTCAGTGAACCCCTCAGTGAACCCCTGTGTTTTTAGGTACATTGTGCATTTTTAGGTGCTTTGCATAATTGGCAAAAAAGGCACATTCAATTGCATAGATGTGGCTATCTTGACCTTTTCAAACCTGCCCCCCTATTAAATTATATTTTCTCAAACATTAAAAGTTCACCTTAAGGCCAACTCCTTGGGGTGTGTATGAGAAGTTTGAGAGAGAGAGAGAGAGAGAGAGAGAGAGAGAGAGAGAGAGAGAGAGAGAGAGAGAGAGAGAGAGAGAGAGAGAGAGAGAGAGAGAGAGAGAGAGAGAGAGAGAGAGGGAGGCAGACGTAGACATAGACATAGACATAGACATAGACGTAGTTGTAGAATAGAGGTAGAGGTCGTGTTTCCTCAAACAAGAAAACACAAAACAAAACAAAAAACATGGGAGAGATTACAAACCCAGATGGGAACAAATCATGATCCCAGTGGATGGCATTGTCTGATTGAAAGAACTCTTAACTGGCTGGGCAGTTACTATGGGGTCAGGTAGTCTCTCAACTAACCAGGCCCTATGCCATGTAGGACTCTATAGGTAGAAACCAGCACCCTGCATCACGCCCTGAAGCAAACAGAGCTAGCGCAACTCATGAGTCAGATATGCCATATGGGCATTCTGAGGCATGCTTATCACGACCTACACTGCTGCATTCTGGACTAGTTAAAGCTTCCTGGTGATCCCAAGTACAGTACATGGCAGTAGTCAAGCTGTGAGGTGTCCAGGGCACATATGAGTGTGCAAAGGTGCCCGAATTTAGGAAAGGGTACTACTGAAACGTTAGAAAGTATTTATTCCAAATAAAGTGATCCTAAAATAATCCTGGCCTCTTGATATCTTAATAAAGTGGAAAAGAGAAACACCTTGTTGAAATATGCAATTAAGTTGTTTTTTCTATGATATTACCAAGAACCCATAATTTTGTAAAGGCAATCATCTCCCTGTAGTTATCAACCTGACAAAGGTAACTTCTACTTCACCTCCCAAAGGATAACATATACATCTTGGCAAAAAAGAACCAAGATCAAAGTATGCTACTAAAAGATGTTTTGCAATTCAAGAAAGGGACCTAACACAAATTGTTTGGTGACTTCCTTTGAAGATAAACTTAGCCTGAACTTCTTAAGCACACTTAAGGCAGGAACTGATGTGCAGAAGATGTTTCTACTTATTGCCACCCTTTGCGTTCCTGATTTTATTTCTACTGCCTCAGACTGTGTCCAGTGTCCCAAGTCCTAAATGCCCTATCCTTCTACCTATAAGTCACCAGTATTATCAGCCAGGGGACCTGAGCATTGCTGGCATTATTTCTCAAGTCTTCACATTTTCCAGCCCTGTGATCTACAACCAGCATCCATTTCACAACTTCCTGGATGCGATTGGGTAAATTAAGAGTTTACTTAATCCTAGCATTTTCCATAAAGAACTTTCTTACTTCAGATTGTATTATCTCAAACAAGTGGTGCTTGGGATAAAATTATATTGTGAAAGCATGAATGAGAAAAAATATCTCATGTTTCCTTTATAAAAGGAGAAAACTTCTTCTAGCATCCACTATCTATCTCTCCCTACATCTCTTCAATAAGAATGTCCCAATTTTGCTGCAGAAGTTATTTGTTGCAATCTACTAAATGTACATTCCTGATTGGATAGATTATCATCAGTCCATTAGATCACAATTAATCTGCTTGTTATGTTCATTGTTTGTATATTAGGTCCCTCATTCATTCAGTCTATAAACATGACAATATTTTCATAATTGTTATGTATAACTGCTACTCATTGGAAAAGTCCCTGATATTGGGAAAGATTGAAGGCAAAAGAAGAAGGGAAAAGCAGAGGATGAGATGGTTTATATAGTGTCATTGACCCAGTGGGCATGAGCTTGGGCAAAGGGAGACAATGGAGGACAGGAGGGACTGGCGTCTTATGGTCCATGGGGTTGCGAAGAGTCGGACATGACTTAGCAACTGAACAACAACAAATAACCGCTACTATAAAAACCACTTGTGATATAAGAATTTCCTGTATGTCATATCTGTGAAAGGAATTTCCCTGCATTACACTGAGAGTAAACCTCAGTTGAATTTGCATTGGCCTGCTATTATTTATTGAGACTGTATTTAGTTTTAATTTTTTGGGAGAGTTTTGGTATTTCCTATTCTGGATTCATTTCCTCTCTCTTTCACATATGATGATGCCAGATGGGATTTATTAGATGGACATAATATTTTGTGGTGCATTCTTTGCTAGCATATTCTAGTAAAGCATAAGTACTAGCAATGATTTTACAGTGATGGCATTAATAGTGATAATGCTTTGCCTAGCTTTCTATGAGCATTGATGAAAGTTCCTATTGGAGTATTTATCCTCCTGCTCACTCCACATAACATTTCACACTAGGAAGTACAAATGTGTCCCACATCAAAATCTTGTGTCCACTAGATTCAATATCTTGTCTAGTTGAGAATCTTCTTAAAATCCATCAGATGGTACTGATTATTTGTCCACCAGATACCAGTTGCATATATCATATGAAAGTATCTATATATCTTCAAAGAGCTTTGAAGATATATAGATACTTGAGTGGCTTCTCCCCTCTAAGAAGCACAGGAAATATAGCAAAACAATAGAAGACTGTTCTTTCAATACTCCAGATAAGAATGAGTCCACTTATAGTTTCTAGTATAACATCACTGTTAAAGATGTATTTTGACTGTTAAAGACATTTGTGATTAATAGGTATTTGCTCTGGGTGAAAAATTAGCAAATCTCTGTGCTCATTCAGCATATAAATCATACTGCAGATTTGTGACTCAGATCTAAAGGGCACTACAGTCAGCCAGAACTCCTCAAGGATATTTTAGACAAGAAGAGATGTCCAGAAGAAGTTGTTTCTACCTAATGGCGCTCTTTGTGTTCCTGATGTTTCTGCTACTACCTGAGACTGTGTCCAACATTCCAGTTGCTACATGTAATATCTGTTACCCTCTGCCAATACGCCACCAGTATTATCAGCCAGGGGATCTCATCATTGCTGGCATTATTTCTCAAGCCTACATATTTTCTGACCCTGTGACTTTCAATCAACACCCGTCTCATAATCTTCTGGATGAGATTGGGTAAGACAAGATTCTGGTTAATTGTACATTTTCCATAAGGTGCAGTAAATTGTATTTTTATTTTAAGCAGGCAATTCCACCAAGAGAGAAAGATTGTGAACATAAGCTAACATAAGTGGTAGAGATTATTTACATTATTCATACTAGTAGTCTATTTAGCTGCTATTCCATGACTGTAGATGAACATTCCTCTTGTGGTATTCAGCTCCCATCCACTCTACATTATGTTTCACAATAGCAAGGGCCAAATGTGTCCCACATCAAAATCTTCTGTCTACTAGATTCAACATGTTGACTATCTAAGAGCTTTCTTAAAAGAAATATATAAGATAGTACTCATTACTTGTCCATCAAATATCAGCTACATATATCAACTTTGGTAATTCTTCCTGTAAATATGAGTTAGTTTCATAAACAAATAGATATTTTAAAATATCTCTCTGATTGTATGACCTTGAATATTTGCCGTGGATGAAAATTTAGCAAGACTGCTATTGATTCCTATCAACAACTGCACTCATTCAGCATGTAAATCATACTGCAGATTTGTGACTCAGATTTATCAACATATCTTGGCCTTTGTATTTGCCATAATGGAAATCAATGAAAACTCTCAGATATTACCCAATATTTCCCTGGGCTTCCACATCTATAATAGCCATTTTCTTCAAAGTGGTACTTTACTCGCTTCTCTGGAGCTTCTCTCCACATGGAACAACTTTATCCCAAACTACAAGTGTGATATTAAAGATAATATTATGGCAGTCATTGGAGGACCAGATTCAGATGTGGGTTTGTTTATGGCAACCATTCTGAGCATCTACAAGATACCTCAGGTAAGATACAAACACAGGACTTCGCTCCTGAACAAACCAACAGTATGTCCCATTAGTCTTGAATGTAGTTTTGTATGTGTATCACAATATTTTTAAACATTAAACATCACTAGATAGTATGGGATAGAATATGTAAAAATAGTTGAACATTGCATATAAAAATGATATAATCTATGAATTACATCAGTACAACTCCATAATTTTGAACAATGAGTTAAATATAAGGATATTTTAAAGAACTGAAAACTTGATTAATTAATCAGGTCTTCATTTGGTAATCATATCAAAGTGAAGCTGACAACTGCCTGCTGTATTGTAAAGTCAGATGACCATCTTTTTAATTTCTTTATGGGATGCAACATATACACTTGAAAATCTTGACTTTCATGGTTATCTGTACATACATTCCTTGAAATATCAATGTCTGAATTATACTGGACAAACTTTAATAGAGAAAAGATATTGCTTAAAGTACAATTCCTAACCAGGAATGTAAACAAATATACATTATACCCAGTGAACACTAATGTACACATTTTATTCATCTCATGAATTCACTTATTTTACCTTGACCGAAAGATATTTAAAAGGAGACAAATTTACAGAAATATGATGTTGGATGCTTCCATTTAGGCTGCTGTCTCCAAACTCCTGTTCAGGTCAAGAATACATTCCATACATTTCTACAGAGGAATTACTGAGTCTGTCATTTGTACCTCAATAACTGTTTGGTTTGGTATAGCAACTAAACAGAAGAGGTAAAGACTTCAATAGATAGTTAGGACTGCACAAACAATAATTACAACCAGCCTATTTTCCATTGGGGATCTGCATAGGTCAGAAAGAGGTCTGAGAAAATACCTACAGACCCCTCACATCCTGGTCATAATCTGTTTCAACTGCTCCCCTCAAGACATGCCAAAACAACTACACTCAGTTTTTTCCCCTGAGTCATCACTCTGCTGAATACTTAATTCCCACAGCACTGTCTTAGGCAGTGGTGGGATTCAGCTGGTTCGCACCAGTTCGGGAGAACCAGTAGCTAACTTTGTGAGTTCAGAGAACCGGCTGGAGGAGGGCTCACAGGCCTAGAACAGCCTGACAGAAGTGCGTGGATGCCACTTCCGGAAGTCCATTCTAGGCCTTGGTGGCCTGGAGAAGGCCTCCCAGGTCTAGAATGGCCCCCCAGAAGTGCGTGGATGCCAGTTCTGGAAGTTCGTTCTAGGGCTTGGACACCCAGGCCTGCATCCACTCAGAGAACTGGTTGTTCAGGTATTTGAATACCACCACTGGTTTTAGGCCTAAAAAATTTACCCATATAGTAGGTTTCATTGCTATTATCATCTTTCTCATATTCTAATTTCTCATCTTTTCTCCTCATCTTTCCTACTATCTTCTCCTATTGGTATCTTATTACTGTATCTTATGATTAATGACTGTAACTATGATTTATGATCCGTGACCTATCGTTTTGTTGTTGTATGTGTGTACATTTAGAGCTTATGCACCAGAGACAAATTCCTTGTGTGTCCAATCACACAGTATTTGGTTTCTTGTTCCTTAATCAGGAAATTAATTTCATCATTGCCCTTCTCTGAAATTAATATTTCAAGCCCATTTAAAGTGGGATGTCCAGAGCTGGATTGAATTATAATTATTGGCATATGGCATTGTTACCGTAGCCAGGAGACCACAATGTTTTTGCAAAGTAATTGTTATAGGAAATATTTGTGTGCTTCCCAAGGTGCACCGCAGGAGAGTGAGCTGGTCGTGCATCAGAGAGAAAGACAAGTGGCTCTTCCTACAGCATCACCAAAGGCCTCCTCCCTCCCCAGAACTCACATCAGGAATCTGACTGCCTGCACAGAGCACAGCTCATCTCCCCACCAAAGTGGTGCTCATTTTATGTATTCACATAGAACATGCTTTCAAACTGCAGGTGGGCAGAAGCTGAGGCAAGTGATGGGAGCTCACCCTACCAAATAGAATTAGGGCTCACACTGCTGGAGCCATCTCCATCATAATTAAGCCACTGAGCCAATATGCCTCTTGTAGCTGGATTGAATATATAAAACCATTTATTTCCTGTGATTTGGATATTACATTTCTTCTGATTTGGATCGTGATTGGGAATTAAGTCCCCCCCCTTGTTTATTTCTTTTCATTTCAGTTCACTTATGCTTCTGGTCCAGTAATAAATGACCAATCCCAAAATGTTTTTTCCTTACGGATGTTCCCTAGTAGGAAGCATCAATATTTGGGAATCCTACAATTGCTGCTTCTTTTCAGGTGGATGTGGATTGGAGTTATTTTTATAGATGATGACAATGGGTTGAGATTTGTACACACAATACTGCCCAAGTTTTCCAAGAAGGGCATCTGCTTTGATTTTATAAAAACTTTGCCTACACTGTATTTTCCCTCTGATGTTGGTGAGATGGTGGATGGATGGATCAAAACATACAAGGTGATTAGCAATAGCACAGCCAATGTTGTGCTCATACATGGAGAAATTCACACTATGATCTTTTTGAGGATGTTCCCTCATGTTTCAGAATTTGAGAACATACCCATCAAGACCAAGAGCAAAGTCTGGATTATGACAGCCCAGATGGAATTCACATCAGTTCCCTTTCTCAAAAACCTTGAGGTTAATGTTATCCATGGTGCTCTGTTGGTCGCCTTCCATTCAGCTGATGTGATGGGATTTCAAACATTTCTTAAAAGAAGAAACCCAAATGCAGAAAATGGAGATGGATTCATCAAGGACTTTTGGCAACAGGTCTTTAATTGTCACTTCTGTTCTCCGAGAGGACCCAAGATTGTCAGAGATGTCTGCACTGGGGAGGAGAAGGTGGAGACACTACCTAGGTCAGTTTTTGAAACCACTATGACTAGTCACAGCTACAGCCTCTACAATGCAGTTTACACTTTGGCCCATGCTTTGCAACCCATGGATTCATCTCAGTTGAATTCCAGAATGACAGCAGAAATAAAAAGAAGGAATTCCATCAGAAAAGAGCCATGGCAGGTAATATCCTGAATGGAGAAATTCAGAAGAATTGATCAGAACCTCCAAATGACTTGAAATGTTCCTGCTTAGCACAGAAAGCTTTGTCTGTGATAATTTTGGGGCAGTGTCTTTTCATTCTGAGGGGGTAATTTGAAGGTGTAAAAGAGTGATAAAAACTCTTTAAAAATTTGACTTATTTTTCTTATAAAGGAAAGGGGTGCAAACAATTATTATAACTGTTTTTACTGCTTTCTCCCTGTATAGAATGATGCAAAAGCAGGAAAGCAGGAAGTTCACATTATGAGTTGAGGCACATGGCATCAAAAATGAAGGAAAGTTCTTCCCTATGTGAGAATGTTCTTGATGAACAAGTGGCTTCCTTTTCCATCCACCTTAATTCCTACCATCATGAGTTTATTGCTGATAGAATTTTATCAGTTGTAATTCTAATGTTAAATGCATGATCTAACCTGACTGAAATAGTCAACAAGATTTAGAATATTGACACAGCAAAGAGAAGGACAGGAAAGAAGGATCTCATTATTAGTCTTAAAATAGACCATTGTATATTTGGTCTCTTGTTCCATGGCTGTCTTTTTATTAGGAATCCATTCAAGTCAAACTCAGAAGGACCAAATAGCTGATCCCTGTTTCTTAGGTTATCTGATTGATCATCATCATTGATCAGTCGGATGAGTTAATGCAGAGTTCCCCAACCTTTCTGACTTTAAGGACCAGTGTGGGAGGAGGGGATGGGTCTGTGTGAGCAGCAGGCAAGCAACCACATGCTGCTCCATTTGCATAAGCGGTGGTCATGCATGCCCATTGCTCGCACAAATGGAGCTGCACATGCACAGAGTCAGCCATAACTCATGCAAGTGGAGTTGTGCATGTGCATGCACATCTGCTGCTTGTACAAGTGGAGCTATGCACACACTCCCCAGCCATTTCCATGGCCCATCCTGAATGGGCTGAGTGAAAGAAATAAGAATTACAAACAAAATACAGAAAGAGAAAAGAAAAAAAGTATACACAACAAATATAAGATTAGCAATTTTTCTATCGTTTTTCTTAGTGTTCTTCCCCCATCTTTTTGGAACAATGTATCAGTGACCAGATTTAGGAAAAACATATGTGCACTATAGATGAATTAAGTCAGGAATAAACTAATCCATATGCATTAAATTAAGGGGCTTTATTATGTTTACAAAGCAATCTAAATATTAGAAATACATCATTTATACCCCCTAATTTTCTTGAGTTTTTTCCCCTTCTCCCTTTCTTCTATTTAGCTCCACCATTATTTAAGAAGCCTCTCATTTAACAATAGTCTTGAGGAAAGAATTTCTTTTGATGAAAACAGGGAACTGAAAGCTGGGTTTGATATTATCAATTGGGTGACATTCCCAAATCAGACCTTTCTTCGTGTCAAGGTGGGAAATATTGATCCCCTTGCTCCAAAGTCTTCTCCATTTCTCTAGATGCCATTGTGTGGCCCAGGCCATATCATAAGGTACAATGGATATAGTGGATGAGGACCATCTAATTTTCTTTATTTATCTAATTTCTACATTGCTCATATCACCTTAGTGACTCAGGGCAGTTTACAAAACTGTCTCTGGGCAGTTCTTCAGGTTAATATTTGCTCATGAAAATAACTCTGGTTGCTTTGAAGGTGGTTGTTTGATTTCTTCCATTACTGTGGTGATCATTCCTGATAGTTCATGGGGAAATGAGTTCAGGAAGTGTGAGCCTCTAAAATAAGCTGCTTATATCTTATCTCCTTCCCTTTCCCGTCTCTTTATTAAACCAACAAAGGCATCATGAAGATTCAAGAATACATCATAGCTTTTTTAGAACTGATCAGAGAAGGGATCATCCAGTGCTCACTTTTATGTCTGTTTGGCATATTTTCTCTGTAACTAATACAGCAGTAATAAGAGGTCTTAGGATTTTGATTCCTTTTTTCTTTCTGAGAAATAATATTGTTTTCCCTGTCGATATTAAGACATCTGCTCTCATCTGCACACAGGAACCACCCTCTTCCTTGTGTAATGACTTTTGCCATTTGGGTCACAGGCGGATAAAAAAAGAAGGCAATCCTTTTTGCTGTTATGATTGCTTTCCATGCCCAGCTAGGATGATCTCAAGCCAGATGGGTAAGAGATAATATTTTTGAGTTTCATTGAGTTTCCAATCATACTGAATTTGGTTTAGGATTCATAGCATAGGGATGTGAGGACAATCTGACTGTAATATCTGTACCATTGATTGCTTGATCTGACTGACAACATGGGTGTCACCAGGAGGACCTTTACTGTTCCATGTTGTTACTATTAAATTTGGTGGAAAAGGAGGAACTCATTGGATATACATTTTCTTTATGTTTCAAAAACAATCCATGTGTGAATATTAGTTTCTGAGAAAGGAATATCTGTAGGGAGCTAATTTAGCTTTATTTGGTTGTAGGATGTCTCCCACCTCTAGAATGCTCTCATCTATTAAGTTTAAGATGTTTTCATTTATGAATGTTTTTCCTTATGAATCATTGCAACCTGGTTTGGAGCTACTTGTGTGAGATAAAGTATCCCTGGAATACATGATGCAGTATATGAAAATCTTTCCTACAGAGAAATTGTCTTTTTCTTTTTTTCAGATATGGATTCCTGCACTCCATGTCCAGAAGATCATTATCCAAACAAAGAGCAAGATCACTGCATTCCCAAAGATATCAGTTTTCTGAGATATGGAGAACCTTTAGGGATCAGCCTGACCACTCTTTCTCTTTTCTTTTCTTGCACCATGGGTCAAATATTTTGGATCTTCCTTAAATACAGACAAACTCCCATCGTCAAAGCCAACAATCGGAACCTCACCTATACCCTGATCATTTCCCTCCTGCTCTCTTTTCTTTCCCCTTTGCTTTTTGTTGGTCAACCAGAACAGGTGAGGTGCCTGCTTCGCCAAACTACTTTTGGCATTATCTTTTCAGTGGCAATTTCTTGCATTTTGGCCAAAACTCTGATTGTAGTTCTGGCTTTTATGGCCACCAAACCAGGCTCTAGAATCAGGAAATGGGTGGGAAAACCACTGGCCCAGTCTATCATCTTCTCCTGTTCCCTTACTCAAATCACCATTTGTGCGGTGTGGCTGGCAACCTTTCCTCCATTCCCTGATGTTGATATGTACTCTCTGACTGAAGAAATTGTCTTGGAATGCAATGAGGGTTCAACTATCATGTTCTGCTGCATGCTGGGTTTTATGGGCTTCCTGGCCATGATCAGCTTCACTATGGCTTGCCTAGGAAGAAAGTTACCAGACAATTTCAATGAAGCCAAATTCATCACCTTCAGCATGATGGTCTTCTGCAGTGTTTGGCTCTCCTTTGTTCCAGCCTATCTCAGCACCAAGGGGAAATATGTGGTAGCTGTGGAGGTCTTCTCCATCTTGGCCTCTGGTGCTGGTTTACTAGGTTGTATTTTCTCTCCCAAATGCTACATCATCTTGATCAGGCCTGAGCTGAATGATAGAAAGTACCTGATGAGAAGGAAAAAATGACCTGAAATCTGTATAATCGCACCCTTGTTAAATTAAACTTTAGCTGTTAATCTCATTGTATAGTTTTGAGCAGTGGTGGGATTCAAATATGTGAACAACTGGTTCTCTGTGTGGATTCCTCTTCCAGATGTCCTGTCAACGCTGCTAACATTGGATATTTTTGCATTGACAATAGATGGAAATGTAGCCATCTTTTCCCTTTCGCTTTTAGAATTAGATGATGCTAGGAGGGGGAATGTGAATGAGAGTCCAGTTAGACATAACAACACTAAACATAGCATGAAAATCAAGGTTATTGAGCCCAGAGCTGATAAAGAATTGGCGGGCTGGAGAGCTGGAGAGGAAGCCCGCGCTTCAAGCTAATTGGGGAATATGATTTATGATTGTTAATTGGAGGAGGGAATTGTGCTTTGATACTATGTGCCTAGGGGAGGGGAATTCAGGTTTGGCTTTGATTATGAAGTGCCAATATTATGCTACTCAAATAAAAGATTCTTTAAGGTAAACAATGCCTCGAAGTTCTTTGAAGAGTTTCATCTGTCGGAACCATGATATGTCTGTTCTGGGTCTGGGCAACAAAAAATTAGCTACCTGTTCTGCTAAACTGGTGTGAACTGGCTGAATCCCACCACTAGTTTTGAGTGGTCAAAAATGTATTATTTTAAGATTCAATACAAGCCTACATTTTTAATGTAGTTAATTTATACAGCTGCATTTAATATATCAATTTCTTTTTATATATATAATATTTTATTAATTTTCTATTCTTACAATTAAACATTTAAAAAGCAATGTGGTGACTGGGTTAATCAATAATTCAATAACATACATAAATCTTTAGTACAAATCTCAAGTTACAACATCAGATATTTCCTCTCTTTTTCTATTATCTCATATTAGGCTAGTATAGATCTTATTATTATCAGCTAAGTAAAACCATCTTTGTTACATTTATCAATACTTTTTAGCTTATACCTATCTTAATTGTGTTTGCATTCAATCCTTATATACAATCAATGTCCTGTTATTACTTTTTTCCCAAGCTTTAATTTCCCATCAATATTCAAATTAACATTTGGTATTTATAATTTCCAAGCTTTAGGTAACCAAAGTTTCCATTATCTCAACTTCTTCCTTTTTCCCTTTTCATAATAAAATCTAATATTCTAAATACACATCTTATCTATTTGAATATAATCCTGTTCTGTTTTCTAAAAGTTATCTATTTTCCACCATATTAAACCAAAAGTCTGTTAATCATATTACACATATTACCTACTCAATTATAATGTTACTTTATTTTCTAAATATTATCTATTTTCCACCATATTCAACCCTCTAATCCAGGGGTGTCAAACTCAATTTCATTGAGGGCCGCATCAGCATTGCAGTTGCCCTTAGGGGGCTGGGTGGGTGTGGCCAAGGTGGATGTGGCCTGTTGGGTGGGCGTGGAGGGAGTGGGTGTGGCCCACTGGGTGGGCATGGCCAGCTCTACATTGTTCATGTCAATGGTGCCAGTGGGACAGAAGTGGGACATGTCTGACGGTCTCTGGCAGAAGGGGGTGGGACCAGGGCAAGTGCCAAGGCATGGTCCACTGGAGGAACCTCACTGTTCCTCTCAGGCCATGGGGGGGCTGGATGGTGGTGCAGGCTACCCAGAGCCCTGGGCAGCAGAGGTCAAATGCCCAGCCTGGCCCTCGAGCACCCGTAGCATCAAGCCAGCCCCACTTCCCCAAGGCTGCTGCTACTGTGCTTGCTCTCCTTAGCCAGGTTGTTCATGATGAGTACCAGGGCAAAGTCAGAGGGAGATCTTTCAGCATAGATGGCCACCACAAAATTGTACATTGGCTCCCAGCCCACCAGTTCCCTCACTGTTTCCAGGATGGCTTCTCAGGCCACATGAAACTACTTCGCGGGCCACATCTGGCACCCGGGCCTTGTGTTTGACATGTCTGCTCTAATCAGTAATATGAAATCCCCTCTAATAAACCAAAACCCTAGTTTCCTTCAGCCTTACTCTGGCTTTCTTCCTTTGCCAACTGACCTTCCATGTCAATACTTTTGAATAATCGAACAGTTCTCCCTCTAGTATTATATGTATTATTTGAAATAAAAAAGTCCACTCAATTACAGGGTTTTTGAAAGAACTAGCCCATTTGTATTCATTAAATAGCCTCCCTATTACTCCAGTTTCCCACAATTGTCCTGATAGGTTTATCTTCCATTCAATCTATTCTTCTTCCTTTTCCTCAAATTTCTTCTGATTTATGTAAAAAGTCTTTTTCATTCTCAATGGAAAAAGAAAACCCTTTTCTGATTTTTCTGTTGACTGGATCTGTTGATCAATTGGGTCTTCTGTCTTGGTGTTTAGTTGTTCCAGTTCTCCTGCTATTTTCTGCATTGTTAGTTCTTTGGTTGTAGTCAAGGTCTGGGTTTGTGTATCTAAGCTGGCATCTTCTTCCTTTGTGTTGCATCTTCTCACAAGCTGAAAGAATGGTTTTGTGTATTGATTTCAACATAGAAAGGATTTTTTCCTGATTTTCAGCCATATTCTCTTGATAATGTGTTAAGTTAAAAACTTTAAAATCAAATGTTGAAAATAGTTTTTCATTTTTTATAACTGGGTATGTGACATCTATTTCACATGTTATAGGTAGTCTTTATAGTGGAGATTGTTTACCAAGTAAAAATTTATAGTCCAAAGTATTCCATCATCTCATGTAATAACAGATGCTTCTCATGTAAAGAAATAGGAAAGCAATTCCCCACATATAACTCTGAAAATCAGTAAAGGTTTACATTCATAGTTCAAAGAGGCCAGATATGCTGCCCAAAAGTTCCTTCTTTACAGCTGAGTTTTTCAAAGGTGGTACCTGTCAAGGTCAAGAGAATTTTTTCTAAAATCTGGGCTTCAAGCCAAGTCTCTTTTAGGCAATAACAAATTGTAATACCATACTTTGCCACAAGATGTCACCAATGCCGCTTAAAGCTTTTTAAATCCAACATTTTTATGATATTTTTCAAGGTTTATTTATTTTCCTCTTTTTTAGATAAAAATAAACATCTCCATAAGAATAAGAAAACTTTTAGCCCACAGGTTTCAAAAGCGTATGCATCCAATTAGGTTAGAATTGTTCTTATAGTTGCTCTGCTTCCCCTGGGTAGTTAGTCACTGCTGTTCTTAGAGAGTGGGGTAGAAATTCCCTTCCCTCTCTCCTCACAGGGGGAAAAGTACTTCGGGCAGCTTTTAAAGGAAAAGATATTTAAAGTCTTAAAGAGAAGATCAGATCTCACCCAGTTTCATCTGCATTGCTTTAAAGGTACTTGGTAGTAATTTTGACTTCAGCTGTCAGCAGCTTATTGACGAGCCATATTGCTATGGCCGGTCTTTCCCCCGGCGGTTTGGAAAGCTGCCCTGGATCAAGCAGAAGAGTTGCCACCCTCCCACAATCAAACAGGGGTCCCCTCCTTGCTCATCGTCCCTACAGGGCAACTTTTGACCTTTTCCAAGGTCCCCCAGTGAGATGAATTCGAGCGTGGAAGACGGAGCTCACCTTCCTGAAACTGGAAGTCAATAGATCAATTTCTAAGGATTACCTAAATGTTGGGAGTGGCTTCTGGATTTCTACTGAGAAGTTGTTACACAGGCTTGTCGATGTTGCTGAGAAACCAGAAATTCTTCTCCTTCAGATCTCTCATGGGGAGGAAACATCAGCATTTCATTCTGGGACACACAAACTGGAGTAGTAACCATTCTTGGCTTAAAACTAAGAAAAGCAAAACCTGTTTAATACTTGAATGGGAAGTCATCACAAAATAATCTATGTTGTAGTCTAATCTGGGAGATAAAATTGGCAAAATGAATTAATCTCATTGTAAGCTATGAAGAGCTGGTCAGAAATCCTTATTGATATTTCACTCTTTTTAAAAAAAAATATTTTATTAGATTTTATATCAGTAGGGAAAAGGTGGGGTCGGTGCGGGTACAGAGAAATAGGGATAAAGGGGACAGGGTGTGGATAACTACAGTAAATATGTAATTCAGCGAACAAGCTGTCATCCAGGTCTTCATATTGAGTATTATTGCTTATATAATAGTAGACATTTATAAGAATAAATCGGTAAAGTTGCAACTGACATTTGGTAAAACAGTAATATTCCTTTAAATAATTAACATAGTTGATAGCATAACAACTATTTCCAATCATCAAGCTTAATACTTAATATAATAAAGCTCTAAAATTTCTTCTTATTCTAACGTGTTTCAACCCACTGATAAAATTTTCCCCAGGTTTTATAGAAGATTGAATCTTCTGTCTCCTTCATCTCTAACGTTAATCTGTCCATTTCTGCACAATCTAGGATTTTCAAAATTATAGTCTGGTGTGATGGTAGGTTTTCATTTTCCCAAAATTGGGTGAATACTATTCTTGCAGCTGTTAATACATGTAATATTAAATAATCATTTTCTTTGCCATAATTAGGTCTTAATATACCTAACAGGAACAGTTCTGTAAATTCTATCTGGATTTTCATCATTTTTTCTAACCATCTATGAATCTTAGACCAATATTTTTTTGCAATAGAACATGTCCACCAGACATGATAATAAGTACCCGGTTTTTGCTTACATTTCCAACATGTATCCGATAAATTTTTAAACATTTTTCACTAAGTGAACTGGTGTCATATGCCATCTATAAAACATTTTATATAATTTTTCTTTGTATGTTACTGCTTTAGTAAGTTTGATATTTTTATCCCACAATCTTTGCCAGTCTACTAATTCTATAGAATATCCAAAGTTCTTCGCCCATACTATCATTGTCTCTTTTACTTGTTCTTCTTCCATCTTCCATTTAATAAGTATTTATAAAGCTTCTTAATCAAATGTTCATCTGTTTTTAAAAGTATTTTATCAAGTGGAGTCAGCTTTTTGTAAAATCCCATTATTTTTATGTCTTTTTCATATCTTGTTTGAATTTGCAAATAGGACCACC